ATGAGAGCTCATATGAAAAGCCAGCCAGAGTGATACATGCTCACAAATGCAAAGTGCTTTAATAATTACATATTGCAGTCTTTCAGATGGGAAGCTGTAAACTTTGCTCCTCCGGGCTGGAGAACATGTTCAGATATTCTCTTGCATCCCTGGAGGACATTTGAATGCTCAGATTTCTTCTTTGTGATTACTAAGCCGATAAAAAAGAGCTGCTATTTTCAGCATTTTGGGTTAAAAGTCCCACGGCAACAAATACCAGTCATCTAAGAGAATAGAGAATCATAGAGGACATTAACCTTTGGAGCCTTTATACAGGGCCATCCACTTTAGCTGGTGGAAATTAAAGTCTTTGAAATGTAGTTTACTGCAACCATTTTGCATTGAGAAACCATTTATTTAATTCCCAATGTCGATAAATAATTGTTTGCAACCAACAGATCTTAAACTTAACCTATTGATCCATAATCTATACCAGCATTATGAAATAAAAATGTGATGCTTTGTTATAGGTTTATTAATGTAATATAATTAACCAAGTCTGAGAATTTTAGTAATTTAATTGAATAAACATATTATGAGTACTGGAACGATAAACGTTCCATTTGACACAATACATAAGATATGGGAGTACTAATTAACAATATGAAGTACGAAGCGCATTCACATCAGCGTATTTATTCTCTTTATTTACAATTGAGAGGCTTTTGGAGGTTTTTTTTAGTATTATTTCTGTAATGTGGGCTTTCCAGGATAATTTATTGTCCTAAAAATAAATGTTCAGCTACCATTTCACTGTTACTTCAGTGTTATTCATGTTAAGTGATAATTATTAGCCTCCATCCGCTTTTTATTTCATTAAGTTCCTTGTTCACACTACAGATGAGCTCATTATACTTATCACTACTATAAAATAAGTTTGTGTCATCTATATAGAGTATAAGTTTTAGTAATTGAGACACATTAAAAGTATCATTAATATACGTATTGCCTCAACTCAGACCCCTGAGGTACACATTTTCATCCAGTTTGTCTTCCTTTGGTCATGTGACAGTGATGCAGCTCAGGATTATGGGTGTTTAGCTGAAGCAGAGATGCAATGTTAGCACTGGGGATGTTTTTTTTTTTTATTCATGGTGTCAAATGACTAGGAAAATATGTCTCATAAAGTTTCAAGACATTTTGGTTATCAGCCACAACATCAATAGAAATATTTATAGTAATCATACTAGTGCATCCCTACTTGGTGTTTAAAGGTTGGTAATGATGTCATGCAGTTTAACAATGTTTAACAATGTGTTTTTTTTGGAGTCGTTAAAAGGGGCTTTACACATATTCATCTTTTAGTATTTGTTGCTTTTAAACTTGTCTTTGTGTCATTTGATTGAAGCACACCGTTCTAATTAAAGGCCCAGTAAAGTTGGACAAAAGCCTCAATTTCACATTAACGATGTTATACAGAAAATACTTTTCTTAACTTGCCTGCCAGAAAAGCAGTTTTTTTTATGTTATCTAGCTGATGTTATGTACACCCAGGGTCCCTGAGACACTGACAGTCTTCTCTAGCAGTGAGATTTAGGGATTTGAAGTCATCTTAGGCCAGAAGGAGTCAAGTCATATTTATACCCCAGCAAAACAGGAAGTCATGGATTACGAAAAAAAAGAATTTTCTTGTAAATCTAATATATTGGAAAAGAAATAAAATGAAAAAACACTTGCTAACATGTATTGTAACCAGATTGTGCCATTTGGAATTTAATACAAAAATTTGAAGGTAAAGGTAAGCAAGGGATTTCTCCTGACAGAAAGAAATGCCAAGCAGCCAATAAATAGGTCTACTCAGTGTTTGATAATACCTATCAAAGCAAAGTCCAGTCACAAGCTTTATTTTTATTAATTTTTTTTGCTTTTGTTTTAATATTTTGCATATGCACATGCATATCTGAGTCAAACAGCTGTGATGCTTTGAACAAAAACATACTCTCTGATCCTCCCTCATAATCCCTCTCCCAGGAGCTGTCCATCATTTGAGTGCCTGGCAACCAGGGGCATCCAGAGGGCTTTCGTTGGCTCCTTTATTCAGCCAATGGCAGCCAGAATTGCAAATTCCACTTTTGTTTTCTTCTTCTCTCTATATCTGTCCCAGGAGGAGGTATGGGGATCCATCAGAAGCCATGTTGATATCTGAGTAGCTCCAGCAACATGGCTCTGTGGAAAATAAATGAATTGGATAGTTAAAAATTAAGTCCTGTAAATGTTGCATGCAAATGGGCTCTTTCATTCAATTCTATGTATGTTTCAAAGGGAAAGCTAAATTTCCCCAAAGTTCGCTTGGGAATTTACTTGGCAAAATGTTAGTTGGTGTTGTTAGTCAGTACAAACTGATGACAAAGTTGTTAAACCATCACTCCTGGCTCCCTTTTTTTCTCTTGCAAAACTCTCTCATGTTCTCCCTCTCATCCTACTTGGACTTCAGAGGCTTTTCCCTCAGCACGGTATAATCTTTAAGGATTGTTCTCTCCTTTTTTCGAGACTGCCTTTCATGTGTTCCTTGCTCCCTTGCTCTGAATTTCTCCCTAGACTCCCTGACTGAAAATCTTCCAGCTCCTCTGCCCATTCTTATTCACTCCCAATAATGGTTTCTGCCCTTCCTTCCTCTTTCTCTGCTAAGTTTTTGGTCCTCCCTTGCCTTTTGGACCTTTGACTGGTTCCTCTTGGCTCCTGCTCTGTGGAGCGGATGATTTGTGGAGGAACTGTTTTGTGGTTTCTGCCTCCATTAACATTCCTCTGCAGGATATCTTTCACCTCCAATACACTTGCCCAGCATGATCTTAATCCTTGTTGCATAATCAGCAATACCCCTTACCTCCTTCAACAAGGGACGAGTTGGTTCGAGCTAAATGAGAAGAAATGTCTATAAATTTAAAAAGTAAACTTTCAAACAACCAACTCTGATCCTTTGTTGAACAATGCTTTTTTGCTTGTTCTTTGGTCTCCTAAATATTCAGAATGTTGTAAGTTGTGCCCACAGAACAGCTAATCTGAAACGGTGAAGTTATTAGTTTTAAATAATTTGACTTTATTGTTTTCCATGATCGACTGTTTTAAAACTGTATTGACTCTGTATATATTGTAGCTATCAATAGCTATCTTGGTTTTTTGGATTAAAGCAACAGAGGCCACTGAACAGTGGCACCTTCAGTGGTTTACTTCATGCATCATAATAAGGCTGGCCTACAATAATACATAGTTAAAAATATGCATCAATCAGTACTCAGAGAGGTAAGGAAAGAACAGAAGACTAAATCTGAGGTTCTGCTGGCTTAACTTGTCTCATTTAGGGTCAGAGTTTATTATTCAACCATAAGTAAAAGGAAAGTGGCAAACTCTCCTTAGTTTTGGAAAATGATTCTATGAATTACTGAGACAAATAGGACTTTTTGGAAGGTATGCATCTGGTTACATGTACTGTCAAACTAACTGAGCATTTAAAAATATATAAGCATACGTACTCTCTGATGATGTTGGACAGCTTTTCTTTCTCAAACCATATGAAACCATACTTTCTAGTCTCTGGGAGACAAACTATGAAAGTATGGCCATCAATTCATGACCTTAAGTTGGGTTAGGGAGCAAGATAATACGTAAAGCACACCAGTCGGCTCCAGCATCAAAACTTTTTTTTTTTTTTTCTATTGGTGTGCTTTGACTTTAAATTGGTATTAAAGAGAATTCTCAAAATATTGTAACTGAATTCAAAAGGGTGGCACAACCACTCAAGAGATGTTAATGTCGATATATTGCATTACATCCCTGACAATCGTCAGGACCCTTGAACCAAAACCAAGATAGCGTGGGTGATGTGTTTTGTCGTACACAAGCTTGCAAATATTATACAACCTATAATCAAGGCAGGAGAATAATGAGAAGGGATTTGTAAACAAAAGCTTTTAGTCTATGATCTAACCCATTGCAACAGATGGTAATAAATGGTGATTTTCTGGCTGGTGATGAACTCCAGTGCTCTGTGGTAGACTGTATTTAGTCTCTGTAATCTGTGTATATATAAATATTGTGTGGCTGTGATCAACAAACTTGGAAAAATGTCTCCTCCTGGTCTAAGAAAAGGCATGACATCCATTCATCCAGAAATGTCTTGTTGCTAGCAATCATTTGGAGCAGACTTTGGACATGCTTCCACTTATGACAATGTTTGAATTTTTATTGTTAAATGCTCTCCTTGATCTCTGACTTATTTTATATTTATTGTTTATTTACCACCCTTTCAACACCATTGTGTTGTATAGAATTTTTTTTTTTTCGAGTTTTTACAGCACTTTTTGACAGTTGGCTGACAGGAATGGGTCGCCCGCATCAAGGACTAAGCCCTCCGTACATGGGCCGTGCGCACTTACCACTGTGCCACTTGCATGCAATATAGAGGTATTTTGAATAGATGTGTAACTGTGCCTCTCACTCAATGAACTCCACCTCCCACAGGGGAGCAACCCTGTGAGGAGAAATGGTTAAAGACCATGGATGGCTATAACAAATGTCAGGATTTTCTAAATGAACACTCCACTCTCAGTGAGCAAAGCCGTATGAAAGCGATCCTATAAAAATCGATTTTTAACTCGTAAACCTCTGTCCAGTAACTACTGAAAATGAAAGCTGAGACTTTACCGAAGGGAGAAGATGCACACTGCTTTGTCAATACTTCCAGAAAATAGGGGCTTTTAAGTTTGTTGACGCTAGAGTGCCAGCTGATGATGCAGACATGCTTGAATAGCTGAGCACAATCAGCTGCTTCAGGTTTGTGCTCATTGTTCTTTGGACAGGCCAGTGACTGACTGACCTTCTACTGTTAAGAGTTGATGTTGATCAATGAAACAGATAATCCACCAGGAAAAATATTTATTCTCCGTTTGTCTGATTAGTTGGTTTGTCTAAATGTTCATGTTGGTGTGTATCAGGAATACATCACAATGTGTCTTTTTCTGCAGGTATTCACTGAAATGATGAGCAGCCTGTAGGACTGGACTGTGCAAAGTGCCAAAGGTAAACGCATCTCTATCACCAAACAGAGTGGATGATTTGAGAAAATGAATGCAAATTCATATGATGTGACAGCTCAATGGACAAATTAGGGATGCACGATATTGGGATTTTGGCCAATATCCGATATGCCGATATTTTAAAACTCATGTAGCCAATAACCGATATCGATACCGATGTTAAAGCTGGACAAAAATAAGTAGTCATTGAAAATAGCAGTTTTGTTATCCATTTCTGACACTTTGAAAAATAATATACTCAAATATATTTTCATATGCTGATATCAAATTGATTTTTAAAAACGCGGTATCGATCTATTTTACTTTTTAAAATCTCGTGAAATTTCATCGTTTTGTTACAAACTCTCGTGATATTTTGCAAATTCTTGTGAGATTTTGTTAGTAAAATAGATCGATAACGCGTCAATATATCAAAATATAAAAATATGGCAAAATTTCGTGAATTTTCGGGGGATTTCGTAGCATAACGATGACATATAGCAATATTTCATTAGTAAAAGAGATTGATATGGTGTTTTTAAATGGCAATATATCAGCATATGAAGATATTGTGATATTTTACTGTATTATTATTTTTTCCCCGTCTTTAGAAGTTTTTAAGTCTGTAAAAAAGAAATTTTTGAGGAAGAAGAAGTATTTTTTTTTTTATTTTTTTTTTAGACCTTAGAAACTCAGAAGCTGATCAAATATCGGGTTAAATATCGGTGGGGTGGCCGATGTCCGATATTCAGTTTTAAGGCCGATACAGGCCGATACCGATAGGGGGCCGATTATATCGTGCATCCCTAGGACAAATAGATGCCTCTGAAGTTCAAGTATATTCATTACTGCAACTAATATCTGTGGGTACAGTAATGATGAGTTATTTGCTAAAACAAATTCCTGTATGACTTTTGTTGTAGCGAGCAGTTTTCATTTGTATGTTCATAATATTTAGTTTAAGTTTTACCAAAGCCTCACTCTGTGATACATATTTATTACCAGTTGGAGTGAAGAGTTACTCGCCATGCATGCTTAGATGTATATATTCAAAAGGTATTTAATAAAACAGCACATGCTTGCTTTTCAACTTCAAGTTTGCGTGTGTAGGCACAGCTGAATTTAAAATGCATGCAGCAGGAGCTGTCCAGCTGTGTGTGCTGCAACGCTGTATTCTCATGACGTCCTTGCATCTTCGCTTGCTTGTAGATGTAATTTAGTCTTTTGAAGTGGGTAAACGTGGCAGAAAGGTTTTACCAACAGATAGCTATGAAAGAGGAAGAGACAGTAACTGTAATCCTTTGCTTTCGTGGCCGGATTAAAATCCTGGGTCCAAACATGGGGGAGGGGTTCACTGGTAGGTTTAAGGATGGGTTGGATTAGAGCCGACAGATCTGCTCGTTGCACAGCTGTGTTACTATGGCAGGAGTTTGGTGGATGATGGAAGGGAGGAGCCTTTTGTCGATTCTTCACGTCTTTTCCTATTGTAGTTGGCACTTTTTAAGTCTAGTATTTTAAAATCCTTATGAGCATCGGATAAACTGATTTAATGGTTGTGTGCAGTCTGCTGTAATTGCAGAGCTAGCAACAAATTAAACAACCAGCTAGATTTTAAACCACAATCCCTCCACCTAAACAATAAACCAAACAAAGCTGGTCAACGAACCAGCAAACGAAGCATCTGATAAGCCAATTAATTACCCACTAATCACCAATCTGACCAACCAGTGGAATTACTAACTAACCATGGTCAAGGATGCCTTAGTTTTCAATTTATTTTGGAATTACTATGTTTGTGATTTATCTTATCTGACTGGTATTAGTACAATGGCAAAAAAAAAAAAAAAATGCCATATTTGGATGCCAGATTACAGAACCAAAAATCACCTAGCTGATTTCTACCCCCCACCTTCCACTTAACTCCCATGGGGTCCAAACTTGGTGACCTTCCTTGCATTAGGTGGACTCCCTGTAGCTTTTTCAGCCAAGCTCCATTAATCACCAGGCCCTTGCCAGTGAGTCCTCCACCCCATTGTTGGTATGGTTCTGATAGGGGGGCTGCAGTCTTCCCTAATCAGGGAAAAACCCTTTTTTTAGTCTACAGTTTATCTAGGTCTTAGCCTGAAATAATGCATGTCAGGCTACAGAGCCAATAAGCAAAACCCTTGATTTACTGGCCAGTCTATATTTCATTCTTTACCTACGGCAATGAGAAACTGTTCTGATGATGGCCAAAGTAAGAGATCCTTTATGTAGCTTAAAGGGGCTTTCTTCATATCATTGATTTGCCCATTATGACAGTAAATCAACGTCCGCTATCGGGGAAGACTTGTCCACGTCAGAAAGGCGTCAATCGAGGTGGTTTGGCATCTCGTCAGGCTGGGCAAATCCCAATGAGAAACACTCTGAGGAAGACATAGAACTTAACAAAAGGACTATATCTGTTCTGGCATGAGGACAAAGCCCCTCAGAATGAGCTAGAGAGGGTAGTTGGGGAGAGGAATGTCTGGGTTTCCTGTTGGAGCTGTTTCCTTGTGTTCTGATTCTGGTTTAGCCAAAGACAATGGATGAGTGCATTGGTAGCAGTAAGCTGTGTAGTAATACTGGAAGATGAAAGACTAACTTGGCCAACTTTGTTACTCACTTCCCACCTGCAGCAGTGCGATAAAGAGGTTAATTATGATGTAATATGGTGTGGTTCTGATATTGGTAAAAAAAAACTATGTTTAAAAAATTCTTGAAACTGGAAAAATAAGACTTAACCCCAATAATACTAGAGATTATGAAAGGGGACGTGAGGTGTCTCTTGTGACGTACCGTCAGTCAGCTGGTTGAAAGAAGGTCCTACAATTTCCCCTTGCTAACAGCCAAGGCAAATTTAGATGATTGGAAATACTAGAAACCTGTTAAAACAACAACAAAATAATAATTATTAGCTGCATTAAAGCAACAGTGGGGTGTAGCCTGGCAAATTATTTGACAAATCAACAATCTAGTATCAGACTGTTTTACTTGTGTCACAATATAATTAGGTAATTAAGAAAAACGTATAAGCATTTTGTGAGTCCTCAAATTAACAACAAATTCATGTTACAGATAACAAACTGCGACTGTGTTATCATGTAATACAAAGTAGTACTCAAGCTCTGAAACATACTACCTTGTTTTTGTAATTGTTGTTCTGTGCTATCTAGCATATTTGCATAATAGCCATAAACCTTTATGGTTAGACTGAAAAGTGTTACTTACAAACATGCAGGTCAAACTTGGCACCCTGCTGAAGCCTGGAGGATTTGCTAAATGTTTAATTTGCTGACATAAACTAACAATCCTTACTTTTTTGTGCCGTTTAGCATTAATTGGCCATACTATGCCTATATAAAAACAAAGCAACAAAAAATATACGTCCATCTTTAAATGAAATTATATATGCCAAGCATGTGCCCTGATAGTGTTTACTCTGTTCTTTTTGAGCCTGAACATAATTTTTGCACCATATGTGGTCAGCAGACATTAACATTGCTGTACGCCGTCACCATCTGCTGGCAGCACTTATACACGCATCCATCAACTTTGCAGCTTCTGCAACATCAGCTCCAGTGAGCACTTGTGTTCATATGATATTGTTAGCATTTTATTTCTTATCCTTCTTGGCATTAAATATATTATTGTTTGTTTCATGCTTGATCTGACTTTCCCTATCTTCCTTTCACACCTCCTCTGGGCTTTGCTGACATGCTTGGCACTCATGCACAATACTGTATAACCAATCAAATGATCTTGTTATATGAAATACATTAAAGGCTTAAGTTTACTTGTAGATAGAGCAGAACAAAAGTATAGAATAGCCAACAGGGCACCACAATTTAATCAAAAAGTCTTTGTATGAAACCAGAGTGAGCTACTGGTGAAGAAATTTGTAAGGTAATTTTTTACTAAGGCCCTTCAGAGCATAAACTGCCTGTGTAAAATTGGCAAATGAGACTCCAGTTGAAAGCCTTTGGCCATTAAAGTATTGTTTCTTCTAACTTTCTGTATTTTTACTTAAGTGGCTTTCTTTTCTCATTGATGAATATATGATACCAAAAAGAAAATGAGATATCTTCCTGGTGTAAAAATATGCCATAGAAGAATCCCAAAGCCAGTATGTTGCCCGGAAATATTTGAGAATGAGAATGCAGCTCCAAAATTGTGATTAATCTTTTTTTTAGAACTTCAGTATTTCCTGTTAATGAAAATTATTATTGCAAATACTTTCGTCCTGTAGTAGCAAGAAGCCATGAAGAATGACAAAAAAAGGAGGAAAGTAGTAGGAATGTAGGGTCAGCCCCCTTCACTCAAACTTATGTAAGGTTACTTACATAATGATAAATTCAAGTAAGTGTGTGTGTGTATGTGTGTGTGTGTGTGTGTGTGTGTGTGTGTGTGTGGGGGGGGGGGGGGGGGGGGGTCTTGCCTCCTCAGTCAAAATGAGAAGGGTGACTTGCTTCGGGTTAGGGCGGGGGATCCACGAGGGTGCTCCAGCAAGCGCAGCAGGAGAGGATTGTGGGATTATGTGTTTCTGTGTGTGATCAACAAAAAAAAGGAGGTGGAGTTGAGTATGAGAAGGTATTAAAGTCGGAGTAGAGCAACGGGATAGACACACACTGAATTGGTCATCTTTCTTTTTCCTCATCAGTCTCCTCTCTTGTTTAGAGATATCGCCTGATGATAATCCCCCAAAATTTCCCTTCATTTGTCTCATATTCTTTACCCTCTGTCCAGAATCCCTCTTTTTTTCCCTCACTATTCTTACTTCTGTTTTTTTTTTTTCCTGACAGGTCAGCAGTGCAGGAAAAGACAACTGAATATTTGAAAACAAAGGGCATAGTTTGCTACTACTGGTGGTTTACCAGTGGGTCGGCTTAGCATTTTTGTGGCGGTTAGAAGGAAAGAAGAAAGGAGGAGGACTTGGCTATGGTCACAACTATGGACGATCCTTGTCAGAATGGGGTGCAGGAGGAACCGATGCCCTCAGCACAACCTGCCGCTGAGGAGCCCACTGCTGTGCAGTCCTCTCAAGGAGCGGAGACGTCTGGAGGTGAGAAAAGAGGAAGGAGGAGGCCGGCACTCTTATTCTTCCTCGTGCTCTTTAGTTTTAGAGCGTTAAAGAGTTTTTTAAAAAAAAGCTTTATTTAAGATATGTGCACACTTAAAGCAGCTACGCTTCCAAAACGACAGACCTGCATTGAAAAATTGGTCACTTGTGCTTTAGTCAACAACTTATTATCTCTTTTTTTTTTTTCTTTTTAATAAACTTTAACTCAGATGTAGTTTCACATTGTGTATTGGTTTAATTCACTGAGCAAAGGGGACTGTGGCAGTAAGGGCATTTGGTGTCAAAACTTTGCTAAATCTGATGAGCAGGTTATAATGACCTGCTGTGGTGACCACTGAATAGAGGAGCAACTGAAAGGACACAAACAAACTTTAGTGAACGCTAACTGAATGGATCAGTTTCTGATCATTTGGTCTAATTGGTCAAATTTTTTCAGGTAAGGAATAAAAAAAAAGAAATAAAAAAGGAAAAACAGGGTATTGTTGTTCTACAGATGCTTAGTATGGGCAAATGGTCATCATTCACTTTGTTTTAAAAACAAGACTTAAGGTTTGGACTGGGTTGAAAGGGTTTTCTCTAATAATAAAATATAACAACTGAAAATGAGATTTAAAGAAGATATGTCAGCTTTTTTTGTAACTCAGCCCAGAAATTCAGGAATCTGTTTGTGCAGGAATTCAAAACAAGCTACAATAACCTGTTTGCATTAGTGGACAGGCTTTTCATCATTCAGACTTCTTTGGTATGAGCCGACCATCATCCCACATATTGACTTCCTGAGTTCTGTAATCATAATGCTAACAGAACCATGTTCCACTTTGGATATTATGTTCCTTTCTTTAATTTTCCGGTTTTGTGTCAAACACACATTTTTAAATCAGACGAGTTAGTGTTTTTTTTTTTTTTTTTTTTTAAGATCATGTCATTCTTTTAATTTCAGAGAAACTTCAGTTTCTGTCTTGTTTTCTGCTCTGGATCTCATGCTGCCTTCTCCTGACTGATACATTTGCACAATAAACAAAAATGTTTTTTTAGAAATAACAGCCTTCAGAGCCTTTGTAGAATGGAAATGCTACCAAAAACTGCTTTACAAATATATTAATGTATTTTTTGCAAACATGAAACAGGTTATTGCCTGTATTTTTTTTATTTTTCTATTAGTTTTTGTTATTGAGTTATATAAGACATACACTTTAGGAGGTAATGGAAAAAATAAATTAAATAAACCACCATATCTTTAACTTTCTTATTCATTTTAATATCCAGAACAAATAAAAGTGCAATAATGACAACAAGAATAACTCACAAATGTACATTTTGTCTCCTATTTTTCATGTTGAGTACTGACATTAAAACCTGTAGCGCTTTATAGCCCAAAACAGCTTTATGGTATTCCATATCTCTTATTGTCTGTTTTGGTCACATAATAGACAGGTGTTCATATTGATAGTATAACAAATTGCTTTTGATGACAAAAGATGTTTGATATTTTTTCATATTTCATATTCTTTTCCCATTAGAAGTTAAAGGGTTTTGAAATGGTTCATCATGCTCTATTTGTTTACACCCTAGTGTTTTATAATGGCAGTTTAGATTTAAAGAGGAACTCATTTGGGGGTGTTCTTTTTGTGTTAGCCTAGCATTATCCTTAAGAGATAAACATTTAATTGGAATCAATTCACAAAACTACACTGAAGTGACAGTCAAGTCACATCTCTATCAATTTACCAATTATATTACAGTTAAGCATTGTGACTGGAACACTAGTCTTTGTCTTTGTCTGGTTTTGTCTTGCATCCTGAAAAGATAAATGCAGGGAATCTCTCCATTAGTATTCAGTGCACACCGTAAATGAGAAAAATGGTGATTTAAAGCACAGAAAAAAAGAGTCTATAATTAGGATAAAGGAATCAGTTGTAGCAAAAGTCCCTTTTTAGACTCAGAGCTCATCTTTCACAGCCTCTTGCAGCAGAGGCTTAGATTTCAGGGGAATACAAATGCTTAAGCATGCGGCTTTTTCTTAGTACCACTTCATCACTGGACAAACAGATTGTTGTGTTCTCATCGAGATGGGTTGTGTACTCATGCTGCGAACTGAGCAAACATTCCTGTGGTCGTGGACGTCATGACACTTACCTTAGTGAGCGGTTAAAGGTCAAAACAGAGAGCTGAAAATCCCATAAACATGTAAAGGACATGGCCATTTGGGTGTTTGCTTCCAGATGTGCTTTATTTCTGGTTTTTAGATTCCCCCTCAGACTTGTTTAAAGGCTTAATTGGGGTGTTTTGCTCCAGCTTTGTGTTTTGTATCTCTTTCATAACAATGTAAAACTCACTGCTTATAATTTATGGTGAATTATAACTGACTGTGGGAATCTGCACAATGAAATAAAGGTGTAGTTTGTTTACCTTTCTGTGTGTATCTGTTAGTACAATTACAGTACTACTCTGACTGTGTGTGGTCCCCACAGGGACCCATTACATTGTTCATACACAGGAGTGTGTCCAAACTGGATTTTAGACCGGCGCTTCTTTTTTTATTATACAAGCATATTTCTTTGTCTTTGAAACATTCTTCAGTGTTTTATTTGACTTCCCTTGTGTTTTCGCCCTTTATTAATATTGCAGTTGTTTTCTGGCAAGCAGCATGACTGAGCTTGTGAATTATGTCTGTCTTTAGTTTTGTGTTTTGTCTCTTCTGGTATGCAGTATAATATGTTAATTACATTGAGAGCAACCTTCTCCAGATTCAAGTTTTTTATTGCTAAAAGTCTGACTTTGAAAACGTAAAAATAAAGATAATTTGACAGCATTTTGAAATATGACAAGAAATCTAGGGCTTTTTTTCACTCAGTTGCTCAAACTTAACTAGTCCCCGCTGGTAGTGTAAGCTGGTATATTTAACACTAATTACAAATAGAAGTTCACAGACTATCATATGTACTATCAAAATACACAGCATCATTTTTTTCACTGCCTGACATTCAATCGGGGGAAAATGTAATGTTTCAGGTAAGCTATGATCACCAAAAATATGTGAATTTGCTAAAAAAAACAAAAAAAAAACATATTAACGAGAGAGAGAATATTTTATTACTGTCTTCCAAGTTCAAAGATAAAGTATATTTCTTAAGTATGTGTCAGAAGAAATATATTTTGAATAATTTCTACAGGGTTGTAGTTTGCTCGGGTTATTGCCCATTCCTCCTGATGGAACTGATGCATGAGTCTGTTTTGTAAGAAGCAGTGCTTGATTACACTATTTCACACGTTTTTCTTTGTATCTAGTTTAAGGGTTTGTGGTGACTGCTCCAGACCATGGACTTTGCTGTCAGTAAGCCATATCGTAACTAATTTCACAGTATGAGTTGGTCTGTTGGCTGCATGGTGGTGCAGTTTATAGCAATGTTGCCTCGCGGCGAGAAGTACCTGGGCTTAGAAACCTGAGCAAGAGTTTGCATGTTCTCCCTGTGTATGTGTGGGTTCTCTCCTGGCACCCCAACTTCCTTTTATTATCCAAAAACATGATTGTTGGGTTAATTGGTGTCACTAAGTTGCTCATCTCTGCGTTTCCCTGCAATGGACAGGCAATTTGTCCACCAATCCTCCATCCATTATCTGACATGCTTGTCTCAATTGGGGTCGCGACGGGTGCTGGTGCCTATCTCCAGCTGTCTACGGGCGAAAGGCGGGGTACACTCTGGACAGGTCACCAGTCCATCGCAGAGACAAACAGGACATGCAACAATTCACACACTCACACCTAAGTGTAATCTAGAGAAGCCAATTAACCTAATACCGGGGTACTCATGTTTTTGGACTGTGGGAGGAAGCCGGAGTACCCGGAGAGAACCCACACATGCTCAGGGAGAACATGCAAACTACGTGCAGAAAGACCCCGGGCCAGGAATTGGACCAGGAATCAAACCCAGAACCTTCTTCCTGCAAGGCAGCAGTGCTACCCACTGTTCCACTGAGCAGCCCCAATCCTTTATGCAGCAAAAACTTACATGTTGCTTCTGCTCTGGTACTTTTGAATTGGTGAGGTATAAACTTACTGTAGGGACCTTTCTGAATTTAAAAAATATAGAAATAATTTCCCAAAAAAAAACATGAAATAAAATTTAGTCTAAGATTAAAAAGATAATTTGGACCTAAAACAGCAAAGTTTGATGTACTTTAATGTCACACAGCAGAGAATAAAAAGGCTATGTCTTTATTACATTGTATCTATAATGTATCATTTATTCAAAGTGTTTCTCTGTAGGTAAGGGCAATATTTTGCAGAGCTCCCGGGACAGTAATTTTGTAAATTGAACTATTTTCTTCTAACAGTAACAATAGTCAACAAGAATACTGCCTAATGACACCATGATTCAGGTTAAATGTGTAATATAGGGTTAGCAAAGCAGATTCACGGGAAATATATCATAATTGAACAGACTACAGATGCTGAGTGAGCATAATTGCTCACATAAGTGCATAATGACACACTGGTACAGGTTTTAAATTACTGACACAAGTTTTCAGGGCTCTAAGTGGCTTAAATGGGCTTGGGTTGGCTTTGAAACCCTGGCATTACAGGTTAGCTGCCTCTTACAAACAATCCACACCTCTCGTATCTGTTTGTCTTAACAGACTCCAGCTTTAACTGTTAAGATTGCATTGTTTATTTACTGACAGCCTTTGAATTTCAGCAGCTTTTTAAGCTTCAGCATGCATAAGCTATATGCATCTCTAAACTGGGTTCAGTACGGGTGAATAAAAAACGTATGAAACAGAAATGTGTTGGTCAGACGTTCCATCAGCGATGTGTAGTCTATCTATACCTTAACTGCATTCTACAAAATGCCTGTCATAATTTTATTTTTTGCATGTATTGTTTATCTATTTAGCCATGCAGCAGGCGAAGGATAATGGCGGAGAAGGTTCCACTTCCACAGGAGTGAAAGACATTGACCTGCTTTTCCTTCGCGGAATCATGGAAAGTCCAATTGTACGCTCCCATCCTCAGGTAGCACACACACATACACTTCAAGCTCAGGGTTAGAAGCTGTGAGCAGACTAACCCCTTGTCATCTCGAAGCCCTCCTCTGCACCCTTTGCTTAAGCACAGTAAGGCTCTGACAAACACGCTACAAATTTTCATTGCTATGCCTTTTTTGTGTTGCTATCAATGGACTGTACTGCTTTTTTAATTACAAATAATTTACCTCAACTTATTTTTACTCCAGTGTTAAATCTTTTGCATGCTGGTTTTATTTTAAGCACAGTAGGTTCTGCCATAAAAGCTGCAACTTTCCACCTTGCACCTGTTCCCTGCAGAGCGGAGATGTTAAAATGAGATTAGTGGTTTTATTGTAACACAAGGCTAATCAGTAGCCTGTTTACAGCAGAAAGAAAGTCCCGTGCTACTTCATTCAGAATTTAACATCATACCAGCTACTTACAACATGCAGAACACCATTTTAAAAGAGACAATTCCCCTTTTTACCCTCATCTGTGAGAAGCTTCTGCCCAATCTGAGTTTTTTTGCCCCCTATAGGCCCAGGAACAGCAGGAGGATGTGAAACTAGAAGCTGTGCAGGACAACAACGTGGAGCTGGTGACGGAGATCCTGGGCGACATCAGCAACCTCAAGGTTAAAGATGACAGTGCCTCTGAGCTCTCTAGGATCCTCCAGGAGCCACACTTCCAGGTGAGAAAGGATAAACACAAACACATTCAGGAAGATTACATAAAAAGATAGTAGTATTAGTATCTATTGTGATCCCTTATAGCCAGAATGTGGCTATAAGCATGTGGCTATGATGTGCTTCTTTTAGACGGAATCCTATGAATCATATATAGCAAACCTTTAGGTTAGATGGTTAACAAAGCCAACAGCTCTAATGTTTTGACTTTGGATAGCTGATGTTTGGGCCCTGTTCTTACGCTAACCTCAATTCTTGGACCTAACATCAGCTTAATAAATGCTGAACCAATGACTGCTTGTATTCTGAGCCCGGCACGCCCTCTGATCCAATCAGATCCGTCCAAGCGTTTAGCTGGAAGTTAAGACCCTGTTGACCTACTGAGGAAGACAGAGTGGGAGGAAGGGAGATTCTGTGATGATAGGAACGGGAAATAGATATTACATCACAGACTGTGCATGTGAGTTTGAATGGTTTGTGAAATACCGGATGAGCTGTTGTTGATCATCAAGGTAAGATATTTTAGGAGCAAGTGACGGACATTTACGGGATTGGAGGGATAATCAGTGAGCCTGGAAAATAATTAATGACATTCAGAGAATTATCCTAGATTCCAATCCATTAGTTAATTGACTGTTTTCTGATATATAAATTAGTACGCAGAATTTAGCTCGGTAAGCATGAGAAGTTAAGCTAAAGAAGGTTTGCATTTTCTTCTAAAATGACAGAATGCTTTTCTGCAGAATTTCTATGTCAGTCAGCTGAGGTTAAGCTCCAAACCTTGCTAAAGAGTTGAAATGACCAGAAATGTCGAAAGAGCAAAAAATATTTAGCAAATATATTTGTTAAGAGCACAGCTGTAGCATAATGAAAAGCAGAAGTTAGTTTGTTGGATCAGTGGATCACCACCAGGCACCTCTAGTATCTCTGTCCTGCATGTTTAAGGTCTTAAATGACCTACATTAATAAGTATTTAACAGAATTTTAAAGGACTAAATGGCTGCTATCATGCAATTTGCTAAAGTTGTTCTAAATCAGATACACATATTAAACATATAGAGCAGGGGAGCTTATGGACCAGAACTGGGATAGTTGGTGCATTGAAGCTTTTAAGGAAATTTTATTTAATTTAACCAAACTGATGGCGAGATGGAGCATGGACCCCCTAATTATATATTGTATGAAATTGTGTTATATCAAACTGGTCCCATAGTCACTCTATTAAAGCATGTCTGATTCAGATTCCTCGTTGATGGGACAGGTGTTGTGAATGAAATGGTGCCCAGCTTTAAAGAGCTCCTGTGTGTCGCTGAATGTGTGCATTGAGGACTGAAAGATCTTCTGCCTCCATTTATCTGTTTACTTCAGTGTGTTGAATTCATGTTAATGAGTATTTAAAGACATTTCAATTAGTGAAAAATATTGAAGGGGGAAAAAAAATAAAAGAAAAAGTTTAATCAACCAAAACTTTCGCCATGCAGTACCTCCGTCGACCCCCTAGGGGTCACGGACCCCCTGTTGAAGACCTCCGATTTAAAGGATGGATGCATTATGTTTAATACACTAATGTGCTAATAGTGATGTGTGTCCTTTAAGTAGTCAAGACTAGCAGTCTATTTTTTTTTTTTTTACTAACCAGCAATAAGCTTTTTAATTCCTATTTAGGCTTAAAATAACTAACTTGCTAATGCTAAAATGTTGGAAAAAAAATTCAAACTCCGGAAGATCTCTGTCCCCAAAGTAGGCAGAGTCTGCCAAGATCCTTCCTGCAAAGGACATCAGTGTTTATCCTGACCAGTTTATTGCAATAGTTTTAAAGCAGTAGTGGAGGATGTTCTTTTTCTGGGTGGATCATCAAAATAAGTAGTCTTGGTGATAAATCTTATTCTGGAAAGTAAGCTTGTATGAACGATGCAAACAAAAACTTTTAAACAGATCGTGCACAAGGAGAAATATGGGCTGTGCATGTACTTGCATGCATTTAATTGGCATTCCCTCTTGGGAGCAGGTACAGGTTGTGCATGTGCATTGTTTTTTTTCAAGTGGAGAGGGCAGGTTTTTTTTTTTTTAATTCGCGAAAATCCTCCACTATACCTTTTACATGAGAAAGTTCTGCAATTACCGGTCTAAAAAGTTCTGTATCCACTTCTATGGGTAACACATATTTAAAAATGTTATTTTAAAAAAGTTCAAATTAGATATCATGCCTTAAAAGAAATAAAGGCTTTGATTTAAATGTTTGGAAGTCTCAGTTACCTGAAGGCTTTCAGTCGTATATATACTGCAGGATTTACAAAATGAATTTTATTGTCCAACATAAATCAGAATGACTTTAACTTGGATAAAATGTTTTGCTTTTTCAGAAAACCTAGCCAGACTAATGTAGTAAAAGAATCCTGAGTGAATATATTAAAGAGGCTTTGTTTTCCTTGATCATAAGGAAAAAATACCCTTTGTTGTCTTGGCCAGCTTTAATTATTATAAATTCTCTTTCACATCTTCCTTCTTGTTCTTAGTCTCTTCTGGAGGCACACGACATGGTGGCATCAAAATGCTATGAAGTTCCTCCACAGACTGAGACGGCCAACGATGCTGCGGTGAACAGCGCGCTCATGCAGGCTGACGCCGTCCGTATGATCGGCATCCGAAAGAAAGCCGGCGAGCCGCTGGTGAGCCAAAGTCAATACCAACTGCATGCGCTTCCCTTGTGTTTGTGCCTGCCTCTGTGTATATTACTTTTGTGCATAAATGATTAAAAAGTGAAGCTTTTCTGTTTCATTTTTCTTTCACCTTTCTCACAGGGTGTTACGTTTCGTGTGGAGAAAGATGACCTGGTTATAGCCAGGATCCTCCATGGCGGCATGATCGACAGGCAGGGGCTGCTTCACGTGGGTGACATCATTAAAGAGGTGAATGGCAAGGACGTCGGCAACAACCCCACAGAGCTGCAGGAGATGCTGAAGAACTGCAGTGGAGGGATCACGCTGAAGATCCTCCCCAGCTACAGGGACGCCCCTGCACCTCCGCAGGTGAAACAACAACGCAGTGCCAGTAGATGTACGCGTTAGCACCCGCCTGGTGATCTGGCCCTTTCTTCAATCCTCTGTACATCAATGTGAACCATGGGAGCCCTATTAATAACACTCCACATGCTATCTAGGTCAGAATTGCTTTTCCTGCCTCATACACACACACTCGTGTCCTCTCACATGGAAAGTACAGTAGGTTATGAAATCCTCATTTTCTGTTGTTTGGTCATTGATTATAAAGTAAAAACAACCAAATGACATGAATCAAAGTAATGCTAAGAAGGACGTTAACACCACTTCTGGAAGTAGAGGCAAAGGAAACATTTTTGAAAAATCCCATATTGCTCTGTAGCTCCAAGCATCATGAGATGTGTGCTTTAATGACTTGTTTTATTGCTTCCTCCTGCTGCTTGTTTAATCTAATACATCATTCAGAGCACTTAGTGTCTCTGGCCAACTCCCCCGCTGTTGGTCAATCAAGAAAAACAGTATTAACTCCCTTTGAGATTCTGTTGTCACTTTTTAACTCTGGCTGTGCCTCATATCGATATCTTCTTCTGATTAACACAACTAATATAGAAACAAATTAAGTAGATATACATGGTAGTGAATATCTGATACCTACAGGTGTATGTGCGGCCGTACTTTGACTATGATCCTGCCAGTGACAACCTGATTCCCTGTCGAGAGGCCGGAATGGCTTTTAAGAGAGGCGACATCCTCCAGATTGTCAACAGGGAGGATCCCAACTGGTGGCAGGTGAGACTCCCTCTATTTGTGCCCACAAAGTTCTCCAAAGCAAACAAAACTTAAGCAGCTTTGTTATCCATTGCAGGCGTGTCATATGGTGGGTGGGGCCACAGGGCTAATACCCAGTCAGTTCTTGGAGGAGAAGAGAAAAGCCTTCGTTCCTCGAGACTTTGACGGATCAGGTTGGTCTCTTTCATCTGGCCGCTGTTTAAGTCATGGTCTGAAGTCTAAACACAATGATTATGAACATGAATGCCTTTGTAACAAACATAGGGAGGTAGAAGCTTGCTGACCTTCTTGGAGATATTTTCCTATTTCCATCTGGAGGGTCAAGATGAAGTTTTTTAGGGACTTAGACAATCTTTATAATATTTTATATACACAGAGAGTATCCAAAATGAAATTTTGATACATGGAGCTTTTTTGACACTGAATGAGCAGCTTAGCAGGGAAATAAACATTTCCATATATATAAAGTGTGCCAGTGATCAAATGTAAACAGTGTAGGAGAGACAGAGTGCAATAGGCATTGATGTGGAAGGTTCTGAGCAAAACACAAATAAATAAATAGATATGGTGTGAAATGCAGTAGGTGCAAAATACAATAAAAAGGATTTGAAGATTCGCCATGTAGTGCAAGTATGATGTTTACAGTGTGAGTTTGGAACCAGAAACACTCTTCCGAATGTAAAGCATGGAAGGATTGGTTCATCATACAAAGTGGATACAGTAACAGAGGAGAACACCCTCTGGATTCTTTAGACTCACTGTAAATCAGCAGCCAGAGTTGGAATACTTGGGTGTTCAAAGAGGAATAACCCAAAAAACACACAGGAACTGAGATGGAAATGTATATATAGGGCTAACATTAAATGATTTCAAATAGGGATGATTCTATAATAGATTAGCTCTGCTAGCTGGATTATTGGTTTTTAATTTCGCTTTGGGATTTATAAAGTATTTCTGAATTTAATTTTTGAAGTGAATAACATGTGGACAGCTGAAAAGCTTGGCTTGTGCCAGAAAACCAAATAATGTCTACTAATACTGAGACGGAGACTGATCCTACATTGATTATAGAATTAAGCAAAGGCCGTGTTGATGCAGGCCAACAGTTTTTTGCAGCCTAAATGAGATTCAAGTAATTTTTAGTGGGGGCCACATCTTAGAGTCTGCCTATTAAAATCTTAATCCTATATTTTCTTCTTTAATTGATTCTTTTTTTATGTTGTAACTTTATATTCCTACTAGTTCCCCTTAAAAATGAATTAAATATATGACTCTTTCACTGATAATGAGTTTATTTAAACCTCTAGCTGGTATTGCACATAAAAATGAGAAAGCTGAATTCCTGTATAAACATGGAACTCATAGAAACACCAAGGCATCCAACCTTCTCTGCTAAAATAACCTTTTCTGATAAATATTTGGTAGACAATGGCTAATGGTTTTAAAGACTCCAAAAAAAAAACAGTCCATGTCTGCCTCCATCTGGCCAAATTATGTAATTGCAAATTAAAGCAAGTGAATAATTGTTCCCTTTCCTTTTAGGAATCCTCTGCGGAACCTTAGCTGGGAAAAAGAAAAAGAAGATGATGTATTTAACAGCAAAGAATGCAGGTCAAAACACTCTCCTTACTGTTGGTTCCCTGTTTACATTTTTTGTTTTAGTTTTTTTCTAACTTCTAACTCTAAAATGTTTAAACAGAGTTTGACAGACACGAGTTGCAGATCTATGAGGAAGTAGCAAAGGTCCCTCCATTCCAGAGAAAGACGCTGGTCCTGATCGGTGCTCAGGGGGTCGGCCGACGCAGCCTGAAGAACCGACTGATGGTCCTCCAACCCACCCGCTTTGGCACCACTATACCATGTGTGTTTCATTCCTGTTCTCCTGTAGTCTCTTGTAGATTATTCATACTATCTTATAGCTTCCAATGCAGCAGAAGGTGGTTCCTAAACTTCCAAATTTGAGAAAGTTCAAGGCATATCACCAAATATTAATAGAAAATCTTTTTTCTCTACATTAAGACACTTCTCGGCGGCCCCGGGACGAGGAGCTGAGTGGCAACACCTACCACTTCACCTCACGGACGGAGATGGAGGCGGACGTGAAGGCCGGCCGCTTCCTGGAACACGGCGAGTACGATGGCAACCTGTACGGCACAAAAATCGAATCCATCCATGAAGTGGTTGCCACGGGACGCACCTGCATCCTGGACGTGAACCCCCAGGTACGGGGCGAAGAATCTCACCTCAGAGAGGGCTGGGAAATAAAAGGCAGCACTGAGCAAACAACAGAGGATATCACAATGAATCACCTGTAGAGGAAGAGCAAAATGTTAAAAAGTAAACAGGTCTCTGCTTGAATGTCCTCCTCAGGCTTTGAAGGTACTGAAGACAGCAGAGTTCATGCCCTACGTGGTTTTCATTGCAGCGCCTGATTTTGATACACTCAAAGCCATGCACAAAGCTGTGGTGGATGCAGGCCTCACAACAAAACAGCTCACGGTAAGTAACCACTAACATTCCTAACAGTGAGATCACATCAGTTAGAGTACTTGAATTAAAACACATGGTCCTGATCCATTCTCAGGCTCTCCTGAATTTTATTCAATATGCTCTGGTACAACAGACGTTTTGGGGGAAGAGAGGCCAAGATCCTCATACATCCCCCAGTCTGCCTTTTATCACCTGAAGAACATTTCCACAATTAAAGGATGTATAATAAGGACCTAAAAAAACTCATGCATGCCTTTATCTTTAGTAGAATTGATTACTGCTACAGGTTCTTCATAAGTTCGCTTAAAAAAATCCATCAGACAGCTGCAGGTGATCCAAACTACTGCTGCCCATGTTCTCACTAGAACTAAGAAAGTAGAGCACATCAGCCCAGTTCTGAAGTCCTTGCACTGGCTCCCTGTAGCTCAGATAACAGACTTTAAAATCCTTCTGTTGGTGAAGAAAAAAAAACTTTTTAGAGATGCCTTTGACTGTTAACGGAGGTATCGCTAGTTTAAAGGGGAACCGTTTTTTTTTTTCATTTGGCCCTTGATTTTACGTTATTACATCATGTTCTACTATCCCATATGAGTTTTGTCATTTGGAGACATTTTGAAGATATTCAGTTAGGTTATATCTAGGTAACGTCCTCCTATGGGCAAACGACTTGAAAGGCATAAACTAAAACGGTTCATAATTTATCATTTATGGTACGCCAGTATTCGTAACTTGTTGGCGAATCACTGTCCCCCAGACATCCGCGGTTATATTTTTTATATTTATATCTTTTAAAAACAAAGGGGTGTGTGTAAAAAAAATTAAAATAAAATAAAATAAATAAATAAATTCCCCTTTAAGTTTGAGGTCCAACTGTTTATCACTTGCTCTTCTGTTTTTAGTTGAATTGCTTTGTAAAACACTTTGAATTGTCTCTGTACTGAATTGTGTTTCAAATAAACTCCTAAAAGGAGGCCGACCTTGAAATAGTGTTTATGACCAAAGGTCTCTATCTTAGTGTAAAAGATAGGTGCCTATCTTTAATATTAGTCTGATCAAAAAAATGTTCTCAGCATATTTAGGGAAGTCTTTGTTCCTGACACGCCTCTTTAACATGGAGTGTGTTTTTTTTGTAATCCATATTTAAAACATTTTAATGAGGAATCTCGAAGTCCAACAAGCCTACTTTTCCTTCATGTCTGCAGGATGTGGACCTGAGGAAGACTGTGGATGAGAGCGCCCGTATCCAGAGGGCCTACAACCACTACTTTGACCTGACTATAGTCAACGACAACCTGGACAAAGCGTTTGAGACGTTACAGGCTGCTGTGGACAAACTGTGCACTGAGCCTCAGTGGGTCCCTGTGAACTGGGTGTATTAAGAAGCAATTCCACAGACCATCGCTGGGCGATCCAATGCGTTTTCTGACCAAAAATGACCGGCGAAGAAGACGTAAGGGAGGAGATACTACTGAATAATAATATTTGATTGCTCTTTCTCCTCCTAGACCTGCACACTGTGCAACTCCTTTTCTACTCCAAACTTAAAGGGAAAGAGTGCTTATGTATTTTATAACTTTTTTAATGAAAAATCTTTATATCCCACGTGGAATCAATCATATTGTCATGTATTTGAGCTAGTGTTTTTTCCATTTAATTTATTGTAGTTTTTAGAGTTGTAGACTTTGTTTTTTTTATTGCCATTTCTCTGTGACAGGAATCACTGAAGCTCTAAGATGAAGTGGCTCATGTCTGAACAACCACTGTAGCTTCTCTTCACTTGAATTCCCCTCAATTGCATCGTTTTTAACAACAAGCCCTTAATCCATTTGTCTTCATCCTCCAGCTTGATCAAGGGGACAGAACTACCAGTAGTCAAGCTGGACAAAAACCTACTTGATTTGCTATAAAAAAGATCAAACACTTCATTTCGTGATTAGCTGTGTGTCATTATATTGTTTTCAATCTGTGTTAATAGTGGATAAAGGTTGATCAGACATGGTTCCCAGCTTTATTTTTCCTAATTTATCTAAAATGTGTCACTTTGCCACTCGCCCACCCCCCTCCCATCTTCAAAACCCCAACCAGTTCATGTCGTCTGTAAATGAGAGTCCCTCTGTCCTTTTTAGAATCACCTAAAGTTGAAGCCCAAATCTCAGTAAAACTGATATGAAGTCAAATTCTACACATCCAGCAAAGGCTAAACATTATAAATGGAGAATTATTCTTTTTCAGCTTTAAAATAAAAAAAAGTAACTATTTTTGAAGCATTTGTCAGATGAGAAATGATTGCATTGTTAAATATTTGTAGTTTTAAGTTTAATTTGCCTCATACCGAACAGTGATTTTAAATGTCTCCACTTCCACCTTCCATGCTTGTTTTTACATGTTTTAGTAAAGTTCTAATAAAGTCTATCGGATATTCACCTATAACTGCAGTATCGTCTGTCATGTTTTTATATATATATATATATATATATATATATAGAAACTTATGTTGGAACTTTAAAGCAATGGTAAAAGCATTTGGGTGATGACTGAACACCAAAAACAGCTTTATTGCCAAGTTTTGTTTAAAATAGAACATAATATAAAAAGACTATGCAATGGTTTTCAAATGGCTACACAAGTGGCAAGTTTAGGCCAAATACTTGCTGCTAAGAAAGCCAAGTATTTTTTTTAGCAAGTTTTGGTAAGACCCTGTAAAAGATAAAACACTGAATTTATGGTGTCCCCTGAAGATGCCATGGATGAGAGGTCTCACCAGCAGATGTAAGGAATGGTTGGATACTTAAGCGAGCAAATAACTATTTGACTTCACTGCTGCTTAAAAGTTTGAACACTAAATTTATATTTTACTGATAAACATCATGGGGAAAAGTTCTGAAATAAAAATGTAAAACAACCACACCAAATATTTCAAATGTTTTATTAATCAACACAATTTACAGTCAAGCCAAAGTGTGAACTATATTAAGTGATACGTAGTCACATTATGTTCTAACAGGGTTTACAGCATATTTTGTGTTCTGTAAGCAAAAGTTATTACGCAAAAAAAACAAGACGTCAAATGTGAAACAGAAACCAAAAAGCTTCCATCTTTACAACAAAAACAAGGAGCTTAGCAGTGGATGTGAACAAATTAAATTCAGCAACATGGAGAACCCTCACCAGAACGAGGACAGCAAAATCAGGTATGTATTTATTTATTTTTTGGCATGTTGGTTTTCAAAGAACAAGAGGAAACAGAAGTGGAGGGAGGTCTGAAGTCACAGCTTTGCAGCACTGCCTCTGCCTAAAAAGACTTGGGTTGCAATGTTAATGTCGAGGGGGTTGCGGGGAGATACTGGAAAACGTGTTCTGAAATCAGTTGTATGAATGATTTTATTTTTACATCTCCTTTGAATAAAGAGAATCTTTGAAGTCAACTACATCTCCAGGACAGGCTTTACATTCACAGGAGGTAGATAACGGGGTGACGACATTGGTGTGGAGTCCAGGATATTGTAGTGCATAATTTCTTCCACTATAAGGCCAAATGGGAACTTTCCATAAAAGACTAAGGCTACTTTAAGACAAAGGTGTAAAGGAGGGGTGGGGTAGAAGTACATGATGAGCAGATACAGCCCTTCCATGGCGATACCTGAGTCAACAGTCGTGTTAAAACATGGACGCTTGGTGCACCATTAACTCTTGCACAAAATCCACTTTATTAAATAGTAAAAAGTTGACACAAGTTAAGGGTTATCTGGATGAAGTTCAAGTGGATTTGGCCAAATAGTGTGGCACAATAGCAGTTTAAGCAGCCTTGGATCGGGTTGCCTCCGCCTCTGATTGTCGCCCAATCCAAGCCCAGTTGAAAGACAGCTGAAACTTCTCAATTTACTGGTCAGTCTACGTTCCTAACCTAGCCTATGGACCCTGGAAACATGCGGCTGAAATGAGCTTTCTCCATAGGGAAATCTGGGAGTCTCTGATGAGACTGCTGCCCCCCGCCATACTCTGTTCTGGACAAAGCAAGACGGCGAACGGACAAACAATGTGGCACAATAATCGGCCAAGGAGTGTGTGCAGCTTGTGATTTTCAAACCTCCCATTGGGGGAAAATAAAATAAAAAATAATAGCCTTTGACTATACACTTAAAGAGGACAAAACAGTCAATGCAGCATATATCAGGCTTATGAGGTACTTCATGAATATATATATAGATAGATATATCAATCTTTTTAAAAAAAGCTTCTCAAAGTCATTATTCCTTATAGTTCCTATTAATAGCATAAAATACCTCGTCAGTTTTTTTTTTCTTCTAAACTTTCAGCCCGAGCTAACGGGTGTTTTTATTTTTATTGTTTTGAGAGACTGCTTTTTAAAAAGTGCAAAACACAAATACTGATCGTTCTATGCAGCATCTACAACGCAGGGTTATAAAAAAGAAAAACGGAGAAAACTCCGTACACGGCAAAGCAGTTTTTTCTTTTATAAACCAACCCTTCACGATGAGACAGGGGCTTGAAACCTAATAAGAGTTGGAGGATAGACAGAAATCGACAAAAGGCACATACGAAAATACACAACTGCGAACACGGTGGATGTCTACAGCTGAGAATAGAGCTATAGAGTAAAACCAGCTCATATGTACCTTTGGCCGAATAGAATGATACGCTGTAAGTTAGGTAGAAGTAGGTTTATTTTCCCTTTAACCCGCAAACGTACAGGGATGCTCGGTGTAACAACTAGTAGAAGAGGCAGGAATGAGCAGAGTGTGCGACTTATTTGCAACAACAAAACAGTTTGGCTTTCTGGTAAAACTAAAATCAAATTAAGCTGAAATCTGACATCGTCACACCAGAAGATGCCTGATTACCAGTGACGGAAAACCCACACGGCAGCAGAAAATCCACACCTAACAACCCTGCTCCCGCCGCAAAGAATCCAAGTCGTCGCCAAGCAAATCAGAATGGCACCATGTAAAAGATTCAGTCGTTATTGTGGTTTATATCAAGAAGGGGTCCTTAAGTTGTTGCTGGGTTCTCCAAGTGCAGATTGCTTAAACAAGATAAATAAATTTGGTCCCCCAAAAAAATGTAATCGAGCAAAGAAAGTCCATTAATTAAAAAGCTCTGAACACAGCACAGTTCTCTCACTTGTACTGGTTTGGTCACTACGAGATATTACTTTGATACCTTTGTCAAACATACGGGATCGTAGCAAGCACCAGACACTGCTCTGAGGTAGTTCTTTACAAGCTGGTGGATAAAAAAAAGAAACACAAAGAGTTTTTTCAAAAGTAATTAACAGGGTAAATACTTGAAGACCACTTCCTGGCAGGGGTGGAGGTCTACGGATTTACTTGATGGCGCTGATGTGGAGATTTCAAAGGGTTGCCATTAAAGTTGTGGTTTAAAAGAAATTTACACTAAAAGAGCAGTGGATGCAGCCGGGTCTCTTTGAGCCTCAACTAAGGATTTTATATCATTGTTGTAATTAAAATATTAGTTCATTTGGCAGATGAGAAATTAACAGCTGCAATTGATTAAAATTATACTCTGTTCTTTAAACCAACCAATCGGGGTGCAATGATGGTATACTTGACAGGATAATGGGAAATATTTGGTACAGCACAATGAAGGAAGCTTTTAAAAAGCCTGAGGAAAACTAAGATGGTTTTTGGTTTTATATAACATTGGTGATAAGTTTTTAATCATAATTTTGTGGCTTTCATGTTCTTCTCAAGTTAGGAAGCCTATAAGCTTTGTAACCCTATAAAACATTTAAAGTTAGGTTTTAGCAAACATTTTTATTTTAAAGTAGGTGATTAAATGTTATACAGACGTCTTTAAATAACAAAAAAAAAACATAAGTATCTATTAAACACTGATAAGCTACCAATAAGATGCAAATTGTGACACTGTTAGGCTGTCAAGTTGTGATTTAGGCTTTTCCACTGCTTTGCATGATTACTGAAGAAGTTCTTCCTCATTTACTTCAAAATAAAAGTTAAGCATACATGCAGCTCTTCACTTCTCATCTTAGCCTCTTCTGCAAGATTTAATCTGAATCTAATAGTTTAAATTCCAATGCTGGAAACTGAAAATAAATATAAAGCTCCATAAAGTCAGAAATCTGACAGAAAATATTAGGCTATTTGCGTATAAACGTGTTCCTACACAGATTGAAGCGTCGCATGTTTGCATGCTCATAGTAGGAAGCCCGTTGTCACTTTTTCCAGAACCATAGCAAATCTGAGAGAATTCATTTCAGACAATAATGCTGCTGACAGTAACTAAAAAGTTTGCTTTTAATGTTACGAGATTTTATGTCACGTCACATCATTATAGTCACAAGGATTAGTCACTGAGGCTTTTTCTACAAAAACATATTTTAATCTACTCTAATATTTCATCCAGATCTGAGAAAAATATATATTTTGATATATCAGGAGGGTTACGGTGCTCTACATCCTAAAAAGTCCAAAAACCATCACGTCTCTGGTTGGCATGGCAAATGGCTCCCAGCGGCAAACTGATTCTTCAGGGGGTTTATAAACCAATAGGAACTGGGGAATTATGTCTGCTGAACCCTGCTGATGGCTCTACATATCGGACCACACACCCAATAAAACAAAAATGACCCAGCTGCTGAAATCTGTACGCTGGCGAGAGTTAAAAACAAATCCGCCACTGGAAATGAGACATCACAGAACAAGTCCACACAGAGCTCACACACAAGATGGAAATCAAACAGCAAACAAGATATTCTCTAGTTTCTTATTATACCCAAACGATGCAAACCTTAAAACAGGTAAACAACTATAGCTCTAGAGCTGAAGTTTCAACATCACTTTACACCGGTGGGATTTGTTGCTTTATCGACATCTGATCTCTCGATACTGAAGAGATCCTTGCTAACAAGTGTAGAGCCACACAGTAATGATAAATAAAAATGAGTTAAAACGGAATTGATTGTTTCTTTCAAAATATTACAACCTGATTTAATACATTCGGTACCATCTGAAGATGGGGAAAGCAGGTTCTACGAAAAATTTAAATTAAAACCTTACACAGGCAACAGTTTTGGTAAACAAAACCGCCTAGAGGAAAATTACTATACAGATGGGATAGATTTGGAAATAAGGAATCAGTTTTCAATCCATCAGTCAGTCAAAAGTAAAATATCAGGCTTAATGAGACTAAAATAGAAATTAATGACAAAAAAACCAACAAAAATACTCTATTGCATACTTCGATATGGCATCTTATAGTGAACATTGGCCTTTATTGTACCTCAACTATCCAGGCTTTCTTGGGGAAAGAAAAACATTTATTTTTATTCTAAAATAAAGTCTTATGTTAGGTTTTCAGGGCACCGCCATAAAAAAATCTGTTTGCGAATGTTGCAATAATTGAATTAATTGATTATAGAAGTAATTGTCAAGTAATTTAGTAATCGATTAATCGTCAACTTGAGTATAGAGACGGTAAAACATGCCTTTAGCTGACAGAGCGACCCATTTAGAGCAGTACTTATATCAAAATTGTAAAAAAAAAAATATGTATATATTTAAACATCTTGCATTTAAGATAGAAAAAAAAAAAACTAATGTTTTTGGCTGTCAATATGCTCTATCCAGAACTCCTCAAGTGGAAAAGTTTTAGTTTCACCTGGTTTAATTTCATAAAAAATCTTCTTTAAGGAACCTTTGGCTATCTGTTTATTTATCGATTAATTGAAAAAATATCCGACAGATTAATTGATTAAATAATAGTTAGTTGCAGCCCTATAGGAAACATTTTTCGCCACAACTTTGGTCAAAAAGCGACCCTCTGTCTTAACCACAAAGAACCATCTTATTGTTGTTAAAGGCTTTTGGTTATAAAAAAATAATAAATTAAGTTGGCTAGATGGAATCTTTTGTTTGCTCTGCCGGAAAAACAAGTACAGGTTAGGATAAAAGTAATTCAATAAGTTCCTGCAGGTTCATGTTGTCAATGCATCCATAGCTACATGATTATTTAGTTTTAGTGCAATGCAACATTTGGAGTTTTGCATCAAGAAAAAAAAGAATGCCATTCTGATCTGGTTTAATAAGGTGCTGGTATAGTTAGGAAATGCAAAACACACACACGAGAAAAAACAAAAACAAACGAGAAACTCAACAGCCATCTCCTTAGAAAGCACTCAGATGTATAAGTTGCGGTTTCTTCCAAGTTAAAGCATGGAGCCTGTTACAATTATTGGTGCCTCCTGTCTATGAAGGGAAAGTGGATATTTAAAACATGGTGTGAACGCATTAAAAAGGTCTGCACCCACACAAATTCAAACGACAATTGTAAATGCCCTGTAGTATATATATATAGGGTTTTATTTCCCCCCAGTCAGGAGACTTGACCAGAGCGCTTTACCCTACATTCTGTCATTTAATCAATCACACACTAACATATACTGATAATGGCAGCTGCCATTGGGCTCACTGACAGAAGTGAGGCTGCCATACACAGCTGCCACCCCCCACCAATTAGTAGGTTATGTGGGTGAAGCGTCTTACCCAAAAACACGTTTAAAGCTGTAGCTTGAACCTGGCAAACTCCTGCATCCGACGTCACTATCGCCGTTATGCCAAGCGATACTCAATATCAACCACAAGGATCCAACACACCCATCTCCATCTGATACAATCTGACCCTCTTTTTCAGAACTGATTTTATATTTAACCAGCCACTTACTAGAAGACACTTACTAGAAAAACAAATCAAGAAACGGAGTGATTGTCTGATGGACCACACCTCAACAGTGACTGGCTGGAAACTAAACTCCAATATTGTCAAAACCAGTAAAAAGCACCAACATATCCTAGCAACAATTTTCAGAGCAGAAGCCATTAATAAGGGAAGGAACCTCAAAGTTATCCATTTACAGAATCAGTGAGACGTCACAAAAACACAATGGGAAGAAGCTGATATATATATAAGGTTTAAAAAAAAAAAAAAGGATAACTATTCTCGTTCATACATGCTGCTAAAAATATAGTTTATATAATAGCTATAGAGATCACAAGTGGATTTAATTCCATATTGGCAGGTCAAAGCTTTACTAAATCAGCCCCAGCTCTCCGGCTGCTGCTGCATCTCTCCTCATCTTAAAAACTTCCGCCAGCAGCCTGAATGATAGCACCATCGAGATTACACCGACTTGGTCATGATGAAGGAGAATTTGCATTTGTTGTAACACAGCTCGAGCGAAGAGCCAAAGTTTAAAATCAAAGTGTCATTTTAGTGGTGCATAGAAAAAACAAGCAGAGAGCTGTGTGTAGGTACAAAACACACTCCAAGGATTTGGTCATAGAAATTAAAACACATTCTGTCTCTTCGCTTAATGGAAATTATGCAACATTAAGAAATATAATAAAAACGAAATCACCATCATGCTCACTGAGCCTCTAAAAATCAACAGGAGACACAAGCGGTTGCCTATTAAGATACATAGAAAGGGTAATTATACAGAAATGGCCAGCGGTGTGATGTTACCATAACATATCAACAGGTAACAAGAGGTAGAACACGCGGCCATTTCCATGCAATTACACCAGTGTCGCTCAACATGGCCGAGCCTTTGCTTCAGATAAAAGGGAAAAAATAAAAAGGAAAACACACATTAGAAGATATACCCATTATTCTGCTATCAAAAGTGCATCCAAATTTACATTTTGAGACCAGCACCAATAAGAACAATATTGACATCAGAACATTAAATATCAAGTAAGGGATTTGCTTTTTTTTTTAACCAGAATGCCCAACAAATGTCTGATCTTTAGTTTTACGTGTAATGGGTGTTTAAAAAAAAAAAAAAGGGTAACAAAGGATCGTGGAGATAAAGGAGGAACAGTGAGAACTTGAGGTGAGATTTTATAGTGAAATCATCTAGCACCTAGAGTCAAAAAGATTTTTTTGTGCTTTTAAATCTGCTGAACAATAATTATGTACAAGTTTGTAATCTTGTTTGGCCGTGAAAGATTTGGTGTTATAAAGGATACACTCATTTTTAAGCTATAAAATCTACGTCACAAATGACCATTACTACAAACGTGACGATGCTGATAAGGACTAAGAAACAACAATAAAATGCAAAAAGAAAAAGGAAACTGAAAATACCCTGATTGTCTCCTTCTATACATGATCCAAATTCATGTGGGATCCCCTCTGACTGCTAAATGTGTTAAAAATAATGTATGCATAGTTAGGAAATATCCACTACTTGCCTTCAATCAAGACAAACATTCACAAGCTTAGGGTGTCATTATGCATTAATTCCATTGGTAAAAACTGACAGTCTTAGAAGGCAAGATAATTGCATTTAAAACGTGTAGACAAAGAGTTAATTTAGACAAAACGTTGGCCTGTAAAAAAAAAAAAATTCTAAAACTTTTCAGCCGTTTCCACTAAAAGCTTTATGTAAAATATATCTGGTTAGGAATATTTCCATTTAGTAAAAAGACCTCACAAAAGCTGGTTGCATAAACCCCCACCTCCCATGCTTTGTGCTAATACCGCTTACAGTTCTCGAAGCATCCTCTGCTCTAAAGAGGTTCTTGTGTAACATTTTAAAATCAGTTCAAATGTTAAAAAAATTGCTGTACCGAATGCCCCTAAACGGAGATGCTACACGGCTGCTCCGATCTGACCTCGACGCAGCAGAAAATACTTTCCTGCTGCTATATACAATAAAAAAATAGAAGCGGGGTTAAGGTGTGTAAAAGGAGAAAACTACTTTAAATGCCTACATGTCTTAAAAAGAAAAGAAAGAAAAAGGATCTTAGCTACATGCATATACAATGAAGATTTACTACAAACAAAAAAAGGAGAAATTCTCACGATTGCCTTTGAGTTTCAATGTTTCATCATTATGGCTCAGAATAAAACATAAAAAAAAGGGGGGTTGCTGGGATCCAGTCCCAGTGCACCCAGTTTTGCGTTACTAAATCATTAACTGAACTTTAAATCGGTCAGGACTTAACGATAAATGCGGTTACCTTGTTCCTAAATTTTTACAAAACTTTCAGAACTATTGATGGTTCAGTTAGAGAAAACTATTTTCACCTTCACTGGATTTGGCATAAAACAGTTTGCAGTAGAAAGTCCAACCATGGGCTAACTAATTCATCATAGAAACAAAGCCCCAAATGGCACTTCTGTTTTCCAAATAAAATAATGACCTATGCTGAAGGAAAAAAAAAAAAAAAACCTTTAAGTAATTCAAAATATATTAAGTACTTTTGTCCTTCTTGAAGTACCCATCCTGGTCAGTGCACTTTGCTTTGATTGGCTAATAATGTTTGGTTTTAAACGTGTTGGCATATAAACAATAAGTGAGCTCTCCAAAACTTTTTGATTCTCTTTTTTAAGCACCAGGATCAAAACACGTATGTTGCAGGAGAAAAAAAAAAACCTGGTGTAGAATATAACAGCCCACTTACTTTAAAAAAACTACTACCTCATATATTTCAGTGTGTAACTTCTATTTTTAGACTTTGGGGAAAAATAAAAACCAAATGCATAAAAATAAAATGGCCCTTTTTCTAAACTGTAGATGGCTTAATTTAAGTGGATTTAAGGGGAGAAGTTTAACCTATGGGCAAGTGACTGGTTCATCACCTAGAGAAAATGTGAAGCCCTGGTGTGGGATTTGCTGCTCACAGACAGCTAGAAGGTGATCACTGGTTTCATTAGAGGGGTTCTACCCACACCAATCCAGTTGTTGTGCTTTCAGGCAAAGTACATGGTGCGCAGGGTGTCCTGGTGGATCTGAACAGCCTTGGCCAGCGCCTGGTGGTCCCGCCCGTTGCTCTGGCCTGACGTATGACTGCCCTCAGCACTACCAAAAAAAAAAGAAGAAAGAACTTAAAACTGAAGGAGATGATAAGGCAGATATGAAAAAAGAAAAAAAATATGTAAGAAGTTTGATCTTACCTGTCGTGCTCTTTATCCACCAAGTGATAGCGCGCCCGGAAAGCCACTAGATGAGCGTAGTAGGCCGGCGCTGGGATGGAAACGGACCGGGTGCAGCGCACATAGGTATGGCAAAGCTGGTAGGTGAGGACCTGCAGCTCGTCTGATGAGAAGTGGTTGTCATCCCAGAGCACATGGTAGTGAGATGGTCTGCTGGTTCCCTGCAAGCAGTGGGAACAGAGGAAGAAGGTGTTAACTAGTGATGAAGACGCAATGCTATGCATTTTCAGTATTGGTGAGGGTTAAATAAAATAAAGTTAAGATGATTCCAAGGAATGTAAAAGGCTTTATGAAAGGAAATTCTTTTAGAAAAACGTCTTCCCCATTCAGAGAGATAGAGACGCTGCTGGGAAACGCTAGATTCCCTTTGATGATAAAAGAATAAATACAGTACATTCTACAGGTATAACTGACAAGTGTGATAAAATGTTATATTGGAAATATTCTAGTGGAGTAATAATGATCAGTAGAGAAGAGTAATATGAGCTTAAAATCTAATCACAATATTGGTTGTTATGGAGACTCTAGTCCCATTTACACTACCCTCTGAAAACCGATCTGAGCCGAGTTTGGACCGAGCTTGGATCAGTTAACCGTGCCAAGCTTGGTTCTGTACAACAATTTACACATCAAGCTAGCACGGTTCCTCGCCTAAAAGTAGTACTACTGCTCTCTAGAGGCAAACAAGCAAATCAACATGGCGGCACCCGAAACATACAGGAAGTTTGGTTATAATTGGGATATTTCGTTTTTTACAGAGAGTCAGGCGAAGAAATCAGCCTTTGGTGAATTTACTGGACAGAGTCGGCTTTTGGGAAGTGGATACGACAAACGATAGACTAATCAAGGCAAAAAAATAAATAAAAAAATCTTTGCAATCTTTCAAGTAAAGCTGAATGCTTACCACAGCAATCATATCTCCACAATCACAAATAATACTCTTGAAGCATAAAAATTTTAATTCAGCTTCTTCAGGACATCAGTAACAAAGTGGTATGATTTATATCACTAAATATCTCATAGTGACCACATTTAATCATATTCTTCAAATTACAAATGCCTCGATGTAAAAAAAGGAGATAAAAAGAACCAAAATAATGAAAACAACATTTCTCACAATTCACTTATTTTCTGGAGTTTTTAATTCATAATTTAGGCCATAATCCCAATTTTTTTTATGACTAGCAACTAATCACTACAACAGTCAACAATATAGTAAATGCCCACCCATAATGATCAGAGTATTCTTATCCTTTTTAGATAAAACCTGTGTTCAATACTTTTTATATGTTTTTGTTTTTCATGGCTTTATACTGACAGCTCTGCAGAAGCCGAGATCACGGCTTGTATTTAGTGTCTGGGTCAGCTTCTTTGATTGGTTGAAAATAGGGCTGGATGATAAAAACCATTCATTCTTTCTTTGAAGTTGTTTTTAGAAAGCTGCCTAGCTGTGAATGCATGCCCCCGTAATTAAGGCCCCACAGTAACAAACAACACAGTAAAAAAAAAAAAAATTAAAGCTGGCTTCTTCACAACACGTTACATGAAAAGGTGCGATTCATTTCACTAGTCACCCCTAAGTGACCACATTTAATCATATTCTTTAAATTTGCCAATAAAAAAAGTAAAAGAAATTAAAGAAAAATATCAGAAATAAAATTCACAATTCGCCCGATTTTTATCAACACATTTCTAATTTATTTAGACGATGAAAGCAATTTTTTTTTTTTTTATCATGACTAGAAATGTATTATGCTAACAGTAAATGCATGCCTCTAATTAATGCTCAGAATCTAGATGCAAAGTTCAGAGTTTCCACCTCCAGCATCAGCTGATTTGGCAACTTAAACATCTTAAAATGCACAGCTCCCAACACTGGGAATGCTGCCAGACCCACCGCACCCAGAAGTCAAACCACGCCGCCTGACCTCTTGATGCTCCCAGATTTTCCATTTAAACCAAACATCCTGACACTAAAACGTGTTTGGTGTGAACCTGCAATTAAGCTAACAACCCCAATCAGATGCTACATATCTTGGCTCCTACCTGAATGCCTGCATGACTACAAAGGTAGAAGTCAAACTCTGATGGGTGGGTGATTTTGGTGTCCACTGTGGTCCCTGCAGGAATGTTGCCACTCTTTCCAACCTGCAAAAAAATCCCAAGTTAAAATAATTTCAAAGGTTTTGACTGCTGATGCAACATTTAGGAACAGGAAACAAACATAGCAACAACCCTAGAAGTACTACGCTTCTAATCCAACCACATTATGTTAACAACACAAAGTCAGAAAATGCACCACAGCTTTTATAAATGAATACATGGTTATGTTGTCAATATGTATGAAATACTCACCCTTTCGTTCCGGTCCACACAGAAAAGCCTTGTGTGGTGTCTCTTCTGTACAACCACAAAGGTAATACCAGGCTGGTAATCCTTTTCTAGTTTGATGCAAGCTTCACGGATTGCCAGCAGTTCATGCTGAAGGACCTTTAAGTAGAATCAAGAAGTGAGAAACGGTGAGTAATTTCACACAATGTCATGGCGTTCTGGTCGCTTTAGAGTTGCTGTAATACCTGGCTAAACTGGCCCTCAGAAATGCCATCTCGGTAGTAGATGATTCTGGTGGGCTTGAAGCGAGTGGACTTGTAGAACTGGATGAGCAGCTCCCGCACCATGTTGGCCAGGTCCTGGATGATGTCCTGGCGGTGCTGCTGCACCCGCACTGTGGCACAGTATCGGCTAGGGTGGGCATCCATGCTACCCACCACCTACGAGACAGAAAGCGATATGTTCAACTGTTTACATTTTTGGATAGGGAAATGCAAATCAAAATGGTAGTTAGTCCTGTGATACAAATACTGAAAGTTAAAATATAGCTAATAAATCTGGTAAAATATATACATAAAATGCTTGCACTTATCTACTTGTGTTCAAATATACTTTCTGAATGCTCACATAATTTACACAATTCAAAAGAAAATTCAAGTTAGGAGTTTTTAGTCACAACTTACAGCAGCAATGGAAGGTTTCTTCCCATCTCCTGCAGGTGGATGGGTCACATCTGAACCAAGGAAGATCACTGGCTGTTGGAACACCAGCGGCCTGGAAAGATAGGCACAGAATGGACCCAGATGACATATTGCAGTACATGGGCTGCTCGGGTAATACTGAAGCAGAAACATCAGCAGCTGTGAAGCCAATTTCAGCTCACTCCTATTTTCTTGTGCGTCTCTAGAAATCTCTTTACTCAGCATATTGGGCAGTGATCTAAATGATGTCTAGGCCTCTAATGGAGTGAGGCTCCATTCATTACCGGATTATTAGCAGGAAACCTAAAGACATTGGTAATACATGAAACCAAATACTGAAAACATATTCAACATCTGCTTTAACAGAGGTTCTGTTTTAAAGATTAGAGTGAGTTAATCCCTTAACTGACCTTCATAGGGGCTTAATTTAGTATAAATCCAGTGTAATTTGTAACAACAGAGCAAAAACCTTGAATCTTAAAAATCATTGTGGTTTATACAAACATTTAAAAACCTTCAAACCCCAGTCATGGTTTCATCCAAAAGGTAACACACAAGCAAGGTAATATTTAAATATAATAATAATAATAAAAAACTAAAATAAAAATGCTAGGAGGTGGTGCAACATTTAAAATCTTACATTTAACAACAATTTCTGCTAAGAATAATTGTATAATAATGCAACTAGGTGAGTAAAAAACACTTTAACAACGATAAACGTATAAAGGACAATATTTTAATTCTGGATGGATCATTTAAACAATTGGTCCTTCTAGTTGTCAATCATTCTGGTGATATGTTTACGTGAGGCCGTCCTATCTGTTTGTTCCCAGTTAGCTATCTTTTTCTGTCCATGCACTTTCAGGTGTATATCTGAGGTGAGCTAAAGTTTCAGACAGTCACTGAAGCTCACCTTTCTCACTGTAGTTCTTTGAAAATGGCTGAGGGTCGTAAGAGACAAAGTGTCTACGAAGTGTATGAGAAGAAAAGAAAGGCCTCAGAAGAGGCAGATATATCCCAGAATGCTTTGTGAGCAGAGCTCTCCTCGCAAAGCGTTCTGTGATTTGCTGTCACAGCGGCCCGATATCGCTACCGGACAGCAGCGACTAATAACAAAGATGGTGCAGACAATGCGTGGAGGAGGAAGAGTTACAAGAGCAACAGAGCAAAAAGCAGTGATTATGTGTTCGAACGGTCAGTTAACTGAGTTGAATATAAAGTCTACTAAATACTCCCCGCTGTATGTGGACACAGTAAGCTTGTATTAGCTATGAGAACAGCACGTTTTAAACAGGGCGTGCACGAGGAGAAATGGGCTCATTCATGCTCTTGCAAAGACATTTTTTCTTTTAGTTTTTACAGCACCAGTGGCTTGTTTTTCTGACAGTAGGCTGACAGGAAAGGGGGTATAAGAGAGGGGGAAAGACAAGCGGCAAAGGACCACAGACCGGATTCGAAAATATCTTCCACAATACCTATAAATTTAACCACCATAGAACTTTACATTTTTCGCTAGATTTTAGTTTTATATCAGAAAGATAGTTGGAGCAGAGAGGCTTTACGTGGCCGGTTGTCATTAAGAGTTTTGAACACGTAGGTCATTGGTGGCTCATCAAGTCTCATCTCCATGGAAATACACATTAGTTTCTGCATAAATTGCTTAAATTAAAATAAAATGTGTAAAGGGATTGTGAATAAAAAATAAAAAAAAAATGATTTGAATTTACAAAAGAAATGAAGAGACTTCTACTGTAAGACAGAAGCTAACTGTTTATAAGCTCATTTTAAAAGTAAGTCCCGTTAAACAGAGGTGTGAGCATTTCCACTGACCTGCCCTGTGGGAGCAGGATGTTGTTGACGCCGCCCAGCTTGACATTGATCTTCAGACAGAGGTTAGAGAGAGTTTGAGGTGTTGTCTTCTGGACATTCTTCACCTGGACACATTGCGTTGCCATTCCAAGCACAGTGTCGCCAACGCGCTTCACCTCAGCTAGAAAAATGCAACAAAATTACACTTTAAAGTGAATGTTTTAAATATTACAGCCACACTATTTCAGTTATTTTTACTAAACCAGGAAGCCATAATTGTAACTGTAAGAATATAACAGATTCTTAAAGAGAGGATAGATAGATATTTCTTAGTAATAAATTTGACAAAAGATAAAAATTTAACTTAAAACACAACAGCTCACAGCAGTGACAAGGTAGTAAGACAAGTTATTCAAATATTTCTGACCATAAACTGGTGTCTTTCCAGGGAGGATGACCACCACCAGCTGCAGACCCTGGTAGGTGTACTTGAGGTGCCTGAACATCGGCTCCACGCTGTCTGCCCCCTGGGCGTACTTGCAGAAACAAGGCTGACCCTGGATGGGCATCCCTGCATCTCGAGAAATCTTCCTCAGCTGATCTGTGAAAGCTCTGCCAAAAGATCAACAAATTGATCTTGTTTTTGTATTTTGCCACATATGCATAACATAAGGATGCTACAGCAGATGCATTCAAAAAAAATCCTCGTACTTGAGCAAGAGTTCGGAGCACTGTCGCTGTGGTGCGAAGCAAGCAATGGCCCACACTTTGATCTCAATGCCAGTGTGGAACTGTTTGTTCCTCATGTCCCAGACTCCCTGAATTGGCGTTGCTATTGCTTTGTTCTGAAAATGTCAAAATCAGGAATTATTTTTTAATGCTTCACACTATTTAACTATGAAAAAAAAGTGAATACATTTAAATCCATCTAATGAACTATTCAACATACCCTGCCGCCATAAAGTATCGAAGGTGCTTGCAAGACGCGGCCGTTCACTTCTGTCATTTCATCCCTCACCATTACTCCAAACTCACGGACGTAAGGGTCAGCGTTGAAGTTGGCACTTCTCATCTGGAAGAAAAACAAACGTAATGGATCAGCTCCATGTCCTTTATTTTAGTGTAAATTGTTTATTGACATTTCTAAACTTTATCTTAGATTTTTTGGTTCATTATAGATGCCTGTTGAGTTCATTTAACCCTTTATGTCCTGATGCCCTACCAGTTTGCTTATTTCATCCTGCCGGTCTGGTGCAGATCTGGCTGTGGCCCGGATCATTGTGGAGGTCTGATTGTCAGTCAACTTCTTGATGCAGCGCTGTCCTGCCACTATGTTGCACACCTAAACAGACCATGTTTATGGAAGATGTGTTAACAACAAAAAAGTCTAATCTGTTTCATTTTTCCCAAAAACACCCGAAATGTTGCAGATTCTTACCTCTAGAGGGAGGTAGGTATGCTTCTGCTCTTGTCCCACCTGTAAACATGGGAGATGAGGGTATCGCAGGATGAGTTTGTACTTGTCTTTGAAGTACTGGGCTACTGTGCATTCAATAGTTTGGCCATTCTCCTGCTGCAAAGGGAACCTAAGAAAATAAAGACAAAATCAATATAAATTTAAACTACAGTAACCCAAAAACTGATCAGCCAACATTAGTTTCTTCAATTCATTTTCTTGCTGCATGTTCTGGTTCATCTAAAATGTATTGATAAGGACATTTAAGTAAACTGTGGTAAGAGGTTCTGGGGCTTACGTCTGGTGGCTGGCTGGTCTTCTGGTCACGTTGCAAACTCTGTACTTTCTCTTCATCTGCCCGCAGTGCGTTATCTCGACTTTGAGGCCTATATCAAGAAATCAAAGGTGTTAAATACGTTCAATGACCTTTGTTTTAAGCGTCAAGTCATATTAGGTTTCATCTTTAAAATTCTCCACTTGTCTAGACTCTGCTTTTATCAATTTTTCCAGCTGTTTTTAGATTATAGACATATAGGTCCAGAGTGTGTGCGCTATGTTGGGTTGGTGATATAGCTGCAGATCTTATAGCTATATCACACTAATAGCTGGAAATGTCACTGCCTTAATGAAAACTGTAAAGTTTTTAAAACAAATAAATACAATATGTAGAAAAAAAGTTTTTCCCCACTACCAGAATATCTGGAAGCTTATTTTGTTTATGATTCCAACTGATGAGAGCAGCTTTCTTACCTTTGATTTCTTTTGTAAATTTCACTCGCTGAGAATCTGTTAAAGGCTTCTGTTGCTCCTCGATGCTTTTAAAATCCAGAACTTCGCACATGAATTCAATCACAGGCTGTGCTTTGTAGAAAGCTGTGGCTGAAACTGCAAGCAAAATGGAACCACACAGGTGAGACGTGCGGAAACGACAGGGTTTATACTGATTTGGGGGAGAGCAAGTAGATTACCATCAATGTTGAGCATCATTTTCCAGAGGGATGGTCTGACAGACTGATGGAAACCAAACCACACCTCTCTCCCACCTCCTAGGGGGTTTGAGCATCCCACTGAGGGAGTAAAGAAAGAGCGTCCCACTGGGGTGTACCTGTATCAGACCATAGTATGATATGTTCAATAGTTAGCATAGAATCTAAGCATGTTTGCTTATGGCTAAAATGAAAAATCCTTTTAAAAATAATAATTTGTAAAGAATTCATAAATAACGCTCAAAACAGAATATCACTCCTTAATTGACACACATTCTGGACTTGCATAAAGATTATTAGAAGATATTTTAAAGACAAGACAATAAAAACTGACGACAAAATACAAAAACAAAAGATCTAACCTCATAGAAGGTAAATGCCTCATGACTACATCCAAAGCTTGAATAGTTTCAAAAGGAACACTCGGTAGCCGTCCAGCTAGCGCCTCATGTAGCGCTTGTAGACTAACGCAGGAAACCCATTTGATGGACACCTTGAAGCTGCGGTCTTTGCCTTCGCCTGGTATCGTCACTTCAAGCTCCACCTGTGATTGAAGTAGAGATGATGTTAAAACTTTTTTTAAAAGTATAAGGAAACAGAAACCAAGTAGGCTAAGAGGTAAAGTACATACTTTGTCTCGACCAATGGGCAAAGGCATGGCCGTGTAGAGGTTCTTTCTTCCATCATACACCGGCTTCCGATCACCAAAGATTTGGGTGTTAAAGTGCTGAACCATGTGCTCTACAATTTCACTAAGATCAGCAAGAAATTAATCACCACAGTGCAAAAAAAACAACAAAAAAAGCATATCTCTACAAACTTGGCTGAAAATAAATAATAATAAAAAAAAATGACCTACCGGTTAACCCTCCTGGGACATTTCTCTGGCTTGATGTCGATGTCATAGTGATAGACCTCCAATTGGGGAATTTCCATCTCAAAAAAGTTGGCCTGGAGTTTGATCACCCTTCCCATGGTGCCGAAATCCGGCCTTGATGGTGGCTTGAACACATATTCTGGCAACGGGGAAGATGGAGGATCTGAATGGAAATAAAAGGAGAGCAAAATGCACAGTTAGAACCGAATCCAAAAATAATCAAAGGAAAAGTTTAGAGGACAAAACCTGAACACTGGGATCCAGACCGGACCCGTGTTAAGTAAAAAAACTAAATAAATAAATAGTTGAGTAAGGATAATGGGGAAGCTTATTTTTTCTGACTATAAGTCACACTTTTAATGGGCTTTGGACAGGGGTACAAAATATACTATTGAGCAACGTATAAACAAAAAAATATAATGGTACATTCTCAATTAACAGTAATAAAACTATTTTACGCAACAGCATGGCCCATGTTTTAAAAGGGCCATTGGAAATGCAGTGCATCACTGTATGGCAGCAGCTCTGTAGGTCACAGTGTTCACAGTCAGAGAACAGGAGGGGAAAAAAAAAATCATTACTGATAACTTAACACGACAACCGAGAAGGACTGAAAAGGTGCCATTAAAAAATGTGCTCTTGGCGTATTGCGCGTCTTCCCATTTTCAGCACCCTTAGTGACATGATTGATTTGAGTAATGACATCTGTTGCAGAGCCACATTCCTTAACCCTTCATCATCTTTCTTATCATCTGAACTTTTTATGGAAAATTAGCAACACTCTAGGTCCCTGCAACTTATCGACCAGTGTGACGTATTTATGGATTTTTGCTTCTTTATAATAGATATCTGGGCTGGTGTGACTTATACTCCAGAAAATACACTACTTTTTTTTTTTTGCATGTTCATGTGGAAAACTGGCTAATATTAAGAAAAAAGGTGTGTATGCTTTTGTTTTGTTTTTTTTTCCTTCATCATACATATCATTAAAACTTTTAGTAGATAATAATATGACCATTTTGTTTCCCAAAAATCCATATCTGGACTTTTATCTTTAAACCTTTAAAGATATGTCATTTTTACTTGCTCACTCAGTGTGTTCCACATATGTAACTTCAGATATTCCAGTCTGTCAGAGTGCACCAAACCCTTTACCATCTTATCTCTGAGCTCCAGCTTTATTCTGCAACAAACTCCCTTAAACGCCCGACACATCAAGCATAGGACCTCCAATTAGAAACATTGGTCAATGTCTACAGACCAGCACAGAGTACCCGTTATGGAACTGGATCTCTAAGGCTTTTATCATTTTAGTGTTGACATGTTGAAAGGTACGGCTATGATATGAATCCCTCTAAAAGTTGATATATATATATATATATATATATATATATATATATATATATATATATATATATATATATATATATGTGAAAAGCATCAGTCACAATTTATTTTTTTTTTTTTGTGTGTGTTTTTGAGAAATAAAGCTTTAAGTTCGAATAAAAGCATGAATCTATAAAAACAAAGCTTTTTTTTTCTGAAATGAAATGTTTTACTTCATGCACAGTAGTATAAATTAGGCTTTGGGAAGAACAAAAACAATTCAATTAATTAATTAATGTAAATGTTTTGCTCCCCAGAACTTCCGTAGCTGGTTTGTTTGGAACTGCTTTGGGTTTTCTGCGACAGGTGTCATAGAGAAGGTGGTGGAAGGTGATAAAAACAAACACACCATACATTAACCTGAAATGTTTGTGAAAGCTAGGGTAATTAGCAAGAGGTTTAACATTAGCTACAAGGATGGGACTTTATCATGGAATGTTTTTAATCACCAATATGCTGGATTACTTTTTATCAGCGGACCCTAACAGACAAATGGAATAAAAACAATCTAAGATTGGTTTTATAATACGACCTCAGTATCGCTTCAAAAGTAGGAAGTCAAATCTTTATTTTAAGAATTTTGATTTAACATGCTGCATATCTTTATCAAAACTTGTATAGTATATTAAGCAGATTGAAGTTAACTTAACTTAATTGTTAAACTATTTTGCCAGTAGTATAACATTATAGCTGGGACCAATTCAAACCCAAAATGTAAGCAATCTTACCAGAGCTCATTGAGCCAGAGGAACGTGGTCCCTCCAGAACCTCTGTAGCTGCAAAGAACAAAAAAAGAAAACATGTTAGAATCGAATAAGTGTCCACTTACACATAAATGTGACAGTAACAAGGGGTTAGGGGGCTGCAGCTTTCAGTTGTTTTAGTTATCATTTAATCTAGACATTTTTTATTAATCCAAAGAGAGACAAATTTTTACATGTCGTGCTGTAAGAAAATAAAGAAAGCAGCTTGTTTCAAATTGCATTTTGCAGATAGATTTCCTTCTTATCGTTACTAAAGCACCATCATTCACGATGAAAGGACTCTTATCAGTAAACAAGCAGAAGACCTGGACCAAGCTGGGAACCTTAAATTAGAGAATCCACCCAACTCCCTCAAGTTCATTCAATAGTCTTCAAAAGTGTAGAAGTTTTAATCAAAAACAGACCCTGATTTTTTTTAACTACTTCATACGGAAATGTAATTTAATGTTAGCAAACAATAATCAATAAGTTGCACTTCCCCACAGCTTGCTTGATTGATAATAAAGGCAGATTAAAGTGTTTAAGTCTAATAAATGGTCGTTACTAAGTCTCATGATTATTTTGAGTTTGATGGCACTAAAATCATTATAAGTATGTGTACATAAGTTTAGGTCTTTTGCCGTTGTGGAATTATCAAATAAAACTTTTTCAGGTACAAAAGTATGCATCAGCCACAGAAAACTTGACTAAAAAAACCCTTACTTCATACCTACTTTGATAAAGGATTGAAAGTATTTTAAATCCCAGAGTACAGTGAAGATTTGAGATAATCCTAATCATGAAAATAACCCATCATCTGGTAGTCAATCACATTTATTTTGATTTCATTTGTCGAATGCTCCATGGGGCTCCCAATCATAAAAAAGCAATACAGCACAGTCTTTAATAAGACAAAGTTTCTTGTAAGAGTGAGATCATACAATCTATTTCCAATATCAAATGAGAATAAAATGAAAATTAACAGATATACAAGAATTCCAATTGCTTTGTTTATAATGTAAGAAAATAGAAGTAGAAAGAAGCAAAATAAGGGTAAAAATGACAGATGAATTAGCTTGAAACCTTTGTCATACCCCATGAATTCAGGAACCATAAATGCAAGCGATGTAGTTTTAAGAGACTATATTTTTGTTATTTGACCACGTTTAAGCTGTGCCAGGTAAGATTATTTACAAATTAAACAAAATATTAATGCACATGAGCTAAATGCATAAACGGTAAACTCATGCACGTTTCAGCAAAAACAGATACAAGAAAACACTCCAATATCAGCCAGATGTGCTCCTTAAAAATATTTACTGAAAGGGAAATATAAAAATTAACCCCAGCTTCACATCTATTCACCAACTCTTAGTACATTGAAGCATTATATTAAATTGGGTTATGTCTTTTAATATGATTCCTTTGGATACATAGGGTTATCTGTTAGGTAGTTTCATGAACAAGAATACATCGTTTATTACCTTTGATCTCTGTACCTCTTTTCTGTATATTAATTGTAACATAATAATCAAAGCTTTATTTCAGTAAAATAAGAAAGGAACCTGAGGCTTTTTATTTTTATTTTAAACACTATAAAATTGTTTTAAAACAACTGCAGAATTATACAATAAAATAGAGTGAAAAATTCTGGTGAAGTTATCCAGGTCATAGTTAATCTATAAAAAGTTAAAGTTCTGGGAGTCTTCATTTATGTAAAAATAGAAATATTTTTTAAACTTTAATTCAATTCCTCAGTAATTTAGTCTCCCCATAAGCTTAATCACTACCTATTTAAAAAATAAAACTCTTTTTGAAATTTGTTTTCTTTGGCACCAACTGACATACCCTTTATTTATTGTATGAGTAATATTTACTAATTTTTTATACTCTAATGCAATTTACATGAATTCAAATTTAAGTCTCAAAAATCATAATTCCCTCATATGAATTTTTTGTCAATTTAGAAATAAAAACGTCGGCTAACAGCTGAGGTAACTTTACCCTGATCAGGGTGTACAGTATTAGACTTACTGTATGGTTGGGGATCAGATTAGAAAGCGTGGTCGGGCGTTAAACACCGGTTAAAATTCCTGTTATGTGTTTAGCAGGAGGATAAAAATAAGTAATTAGTTCATCTCGCATATATTACTCTTTTTTTCGAAATTGAGCTTCGGTTCTTCTGATTATAGTAGTTAGTCCACAGTGAACAAGTTGACAAAACGAGGTGCAGCTAAAGCTAATTTAGCTAACGGCTGCTTGATGCTAACTAAGCTTTACCCTAAATCTATCGCCCGCTGAGGTACAAGGGCAAACATACTTTGCCGAATGAACTGTTTTTAATAAATTGCATAAATATAGTATGAAGGAAGCTACTAGTTATTATAAACATGAATTATCCACCAGCCGCATCGGTTAGCCGCTGCTAACAGTAGCTTCGGCACTTACCTCCAGCAGGATACATTTTGTCGACTTTTTAAGCGTATCGTGGACGTTCAGATACTCCACTTTACAGAGGGCGAACACCGCCGAGCTTCATACGAAGCCAAATCGATTGATGGTCCAACAACTGGGAAGGATGTGTGGCTCAGAAGTATAGATATTCGGTTAGCCAAGAGATAAATATTTTGAATCTCATCCTCGACACGACCCCATCCCCCCAGCAGCACACAAACGAGAGCGGAGAGAAAAGATGTGCGGCAAGAGAAGTCGCCCCCAACCACTTCCGCTTGCGTTTTTAACCTACACCGCCCACCTCCTGAGCTCGAGCCAAGACCTTTTAAACCGACAAACGTTTACTGTACCCATAAATAGTTCTTTAGATTGATTTCCTACAAACAAAAAAAATAAAAATAAATAAAATATATATGTGTGCGGATCTTGGCTGTGTGTTTCCATTTGTGGCTCAAAAAAAAAATAATGAAAATAAAAATACATCTACTTAATTATATCTCACTAGCCATAGCTACATATGTTTTATGGGCTTTCAAACACTGCCGTCAATACAAAAGTGACTTTTTGCGCATAACGGGGGGGCTTTTTTTCTTCTTTTTTGCATCACGGGGGACTTATCTTGCTGTAGGACCTTCTCAGTGACGTCAGACGAAATTAAACAGATATAACTTTTGGCACCCTCTCCGTCCGTCATTAAGGGAAACAGTAAAATTAAACCAATGAAATCGCATAAGGTGTATTTACCTTATTATAATTGTAGAAATGTTTTACATAAATGCAAAGCAATTCAAGCAATTCAAACTACAGAAGCCTTTTTCATATTTAATTTACTTAGACAGCAATTGCCCCTATCCTCTGAATGCATGGCTATACTTTATTTTTTATTTATTTTGCACAAAATGAAGCCATTGATGTGAATGGTAATCATTTGGAGATGTATCATGGAATATAAATTTTGTTAATTATCGTATCATGTGCAATCTTGTTGCCCTGCAGTGTTCTTTGATAACAGTATATAAATATATATATATATATATATGTGTGTGTGTGTGTGTGCGTGTGCACTGAAATAGATTTTAATTTTGATTTGAATGTAGAATTTGAATTTCAAAATTTTAATTTGTGAGATGGGCAGTGGTGCAGTTTGTAGCACTGTTGCCTTGTACCAAGAAGGTTCTGGATCCTTGGATCAGGGCCTTTTTGCATGGAGTTACTCAGGGTCTTCCCGTGCATACGTCGTTTCTCTTCGGACACCCCGGCTTCCTCCCACAGTGGCCATTTGACCTTTCATGACTATTAGGTTAAATGGCATCTCTAAAATTTCCTTAGGTGTGAATCATTGTGTGCATGGTTGTGTGTTTCTGTGTTGCCCTGCAACAGACTGGCGAACTGTCCAGGGTGTACCCCACCTCTTGCCCATGTTGCCGCAGATAGGCAGTATATGGGCATTCCGGCCCATCATGAACCTGATAGAATAAGTGGGAAAAGATGGATGGAATTTGAATTTAATTATGATTTACATATGCTTGGAACCAAAATTCACATTTTAAACTATTCAGTTATAGATAAAATATTTTATAATCTATAGTCCTAATTTCAATCTATCACTCAGCTGAAATGTATGTTTGCTGCTGTCTCTGAACAGGACAGGGGCTGAAACTGGGCCTCAGTCAAGCTTTAGATGTTAATAAACGCAGAAAGTAGGGATACATAAGTAGAATAATATTTTCTTGCCAGTTTTAATCATTTTGAAATGTTGATAATATAGAAAAGATATTTGAGAAAGATGCTAAAGTTCTCAATTAAAGAAGATATATATGCATAGATCAAAACATATACACTCACCAGCCACTTTATTAGGTACACCTTGCTAGTACCGGGTTCGACCCTCTTTTGCCTTCAGAACTGCCCTAATACCGTACTTTGTGGCATATATTAATTCCTCCGAAAGTTTGGTCCATATAGAAGAGATAGCATTATATTTACCATGTCTACATGCATAAATGCAATGAATTGCTGCCATGCATTTAGAAATTTGCATTAATGAGCTGTTGGACAGATGTACCTGATTCCTGCAAGTCCACATCAGGTCTGCAAGCACTGTAGATCTTTTTGCCCATTCCTCTGAACCGATATCCTTTATTGGAGTGATTTTCTTAGACCTGTACCTGAGCAACACTGACTTTCAACTCTCTCAACAAATTTCCTTCATCCTGGAGGACCCAGCAGTGTTCCTTAATACTCTCCCAAATGGAAGGACATTTTGTCTTAAAATCTCATGACACATGGCCCCGTTCATTCTTCCCTTAACACGGATCACTCCTCCTGTCGCTTTAGCAGGAAAACAGCCCCAAATCATATTGTTTCCATCACCATGCTTCAAAATAGTCATGTGTTCTTTGTGTGCCACAACATTCTTCTTCCTCCAAACATAATGAGTCTGATCACATGATACTCTCTGAGTCTTCTTCAGGATCATCCACCTGCTCTCTGGCAAACTTCAGACGAGCCTGGACATGTACTGGCTTAAGCAGGGGGACACACCTGGCACCACTGGATTTGAGTCCCTTTCAGCATAGTGTGCCCCTAAAAGTAGTCTGTTTTACTTTGGTCCCAGCTCTCTGCAAGTCATTCATTAGGGCTCTCTGTGTAGTTCTGGAATTTCTGCTCACCACTCTCAAGAACAGGATGAGATCTTACATAGGGCCCCAGATCAAGGGATCTTATCAATGGTCTTGTATGTCTTTCATTTTCTTACTGTCCCACAGTTGATTTATTCACACAAACCTTCTTGGCTATTGTAGGCCTATTCCAAGTCTGGTGCAGGTCTACAAGTTTCTTTCTGGTGTCCTTCAACAGTTCATTGGTCTTGGACATCGTTGAGTTTGGAGTCAGGCGGTATGAGATTTGATGATATAATGTGTGTCTGGTCAATTGAGCCTGTGGACAGGTGTCTTACAGATAACAAGTTCAGACAGGTACCATTAAACAGGTAACAAGTGGAGTTCTGACCATATATGATTAAAACATTTTGCACCATCACCATTTATTTTGTGTTGTGTCCTCTAAACTTCTGTTGTTTAAAAAAAAAGCTTTAAACCCATTTTTTTAAATTAGCATTTAATTCTGACTAGGATAATACTGTCTCTTAGATGTCCTCTCTCTGTGTGCTCCTTTCTATGCACCTCTGGAAGGCTTTTAATGTCCTGCAGCGCTGCACCACTACAGCACTTTTAATTGTATCTGTATGTTTTATATGTGTTATGTATTGTTTTATGGCTTTGTTGTAAAGCTATTTGGGTACCATTTGGCTATTGTAAAGGGCTATACAAATACATTTGATTTGATTTGATTTGTTCAGTGCTGATGGCTTCTCATCCAGCCCTGGTTCTGCTGCAGATTTCCTTCTCTTTAAAATGAGTTGTTCCATTCCACTGTCACCACAAGCTGGCTTGAGAGGGGGAAATGCACTGAATTCAAGGTTTACAGTGTGAATGATCTTAGGAGGAGGATAGTCAACACTGACGTAAAATAAGTATTGACCACTATTTTTCTCAGTTAATATATTTCTAGAGCTACTATTGACATTGCATTTTCACCACAAGTCAGTAGCAATCCGTACAATTTACAAATACAAAGGAATCAAACAATAGATGTCCAAAAATTAAGATATGTGAAGAAAGGGAGGTGTAAAAGGCAAGACACCAGCCAAAACCTCACAGTAATTAGAAAGCAATCCTGCCCCTTGTCAGTTCTAATTAATATCAGCTGGTTCAGTCCCAAATGATGGCCTATAAAAAGGCTTCTCTTGTATCAAACAAGAAACATCTCATGATGGGTAAAGGTAAAGAGCCTTCTCAACACCTTTGCAACCTTATTGTTGCAAATCAAAATGATGGCATTGGTTACAGAAGGATTTCTAAGCTTCTGAATGTTCCACTGAACACTGTTGGGGCCATAATCCGGAAGTGGAGAGAATATCAATTCACCATAAACCGAAAATGACCAGGTGCTCCTCGCAAGGTTTCTGACAGAGGAGTGAAAATAATTTTCAGAGGAGTTGTCCAAGAGCCAAGGACCACTAGTGGAGAGCTTCAGAAAGACCTGGAATTTGCAGGTACGGTTTTTTTCAAAGAAAATAAGTAATGCACTCGCCACGCAAGACTCCATTGCTGAAGAAAAAGCATGTTGAAGCTCGTTTAATGTTTGTTGTACAACATTTAGACAAGCCTGTGAAATACTGGGAGAATAGTCCGGACAGATGAGATGAAAATTAAACTTTTGGATGCCATAATACACGTCATGTTTGGAGGTCAGATGGCACATCACCCAAAATACACCATACGGACAATGAAGTTTGGAGGTGGGAACATCATGGTGTGGAGCTATTTTTTCAGCATATGGTACTGACAAACTTTATATAATTGATACAAATCTGCTGCCATCTACCAGTATGACGAAGATGAAATGTGGGTGAACATTTCAGCAAGACAATGACCCCAGACACACACCAAGGAGACTCTCAAGGTTTCAGTGAAATAAAATATAGCTGCTAGAATGGCACTGCCAGTCACCTGACTTGAATCCAATAGAAAATCTATGGAAAGAACTAAAGATTAGAGGCTATAGAAAAGGCCCATGAAATCCTCGAGATTTGAAGACTGTTTGTGTGGAAGAATTGGCCAAAATCACACCTGTGCAATGCATGTGACTAATTTCTCTATACAGGAGGTGTCTTGAAGATTTCAATGCCAACAAAGTCCTTTGTAAAAATTATTATGTACATTTCTGTAAGTGTTTTCAACACTGCCATTTCTCTGTATTACACATAACTTCATTTCTGGACATCTATAGTTTGATTTCTTTCCATGTTTGGATTGTTAGGTGAAAATGTCATGTCAATAGCACCTATAGAATATATTGAGACAAATTTTGTTGTGTTCAACACTTATTTTGCCTATATAATCAGTTGCAGCAATTTGTTGGATACACCAAACACTTGATATAAAAATATGTTCTTGTAATAAAATATTGTCGCCAAAGCCATCAAATAAAATAAGGCCATTATGCGAGAAAAGGAGTATCTGGCCTCCCTTCTTTGTTTGACCAAATATGACCAGAATCCGCATATCGACTACATCCATCCCACTGAAGGTTTTCAAATGCACACTTTTTTTTATATAGTTAGAAATGAATTCAATTACTTT